TACAAACAAGCTTCTGCTCTCCTCATAAAAGAATTCCGCACCCGTTGAAAAATGTTCGGAGTGTTTTTTATAGTTTCGCAGCAAGCTATGATGTGATCCCTCAACATTTCCCCGTTTTCAATGGGGCTAGCATAAACTAGTGATTTTAGGTGTTCCCAAAAGAAAAAATCGACCGGATTGAGGTCCAGTGACTTCGGGAGCCAATGCTCAGTGCCTCCACTTCCTATCCAACGTTGGGGATATGCTACGTCTAAAAAATTTCTTGCTATCACACTAAAATGAGCAGTAGCTCCATCGTGCATAAACCAAGAGTGATTTCGGAGACCAATGGGAACATCTTCCATAAGTTGGGGAAGCTCGTGTTCCAAAAAATGTAGGCATCTCCATTCGAACGTAAGAGGAGAAAATAGGACCCAATTAAATAATTATGCCTACCCATACATCTGTCTTGTAAATGAGTTTGCGTTATCGCATGTGGGTTATCATTTCTTGAAAAATTAGCCTCATCTGTGAAGAGGATTTTCGATAAAATTTGCGGATGTTGTTCGACTTTTCTTTGAAGCTATTGAGCGAAATCGATACGTGGTTGAAAATCAGGTAGCGCTGAATATGATAAGGATATAATTGCTGTCCCTTTAATATTCTGTAAACTGTCATGTGACTCACATTTAGAGTTTGACTAATTTTTCTTGTACTTGTCTCACTAATTTCTTCGAGAACCGCCTCCTCCAATTCTACAGTTCTTGTAGTCCAGATGCGTCAGCTTGAATTTCCGTCAGCCAAGCCGTATGCAAAAACCATATCAGCTATTTCAGCAATCGTAAAGTCGGGCATGGTACCAAAAAATTACTTTATAAACTCCGAACTATGAATTTGTCAATTAATAGTTGAAATGTGACAGCAAACTTCTATTTTTATAAAAAAATTTTCATAGCGTACTCGATTTAATTAACTTGATTTGCAAGCGAAGAGTGACAAAAATTATTGAAATCAATTTTGGCTATAAAGTAATATGCATCGATATAGAAAATTGTAAATATCTCGAAAACGATCACCTCCAGCGTTGTTGAGGAGGTGTACCTTTTTTACTTGGAAAAGGTGTGGGAAATTAGGTTTTTTCATGAAAAGTACCAAAAGTTTACTGTCAAAAAAGTTACGGCAATTTGAAATGAATACGCAGCTCTCTCTAGGTATTACATAAAAATTAATACGAAATTATGATTTCCCACGTCAAAAAAACTCCGGGTACCGAATTTCGTGCAAATAACTTACTTTTTGCAAGAGTTATTTTCAAAAAGCGAATAAAAAAATTCAATTTCAAAACCCCGTATCTCCGAAACAAAGCATTTTCGGACACAAATTAATATAGACTTTTTTCTTAAAATTGTCTCAGGAATACGCCACTTGAATATTTTAACGTACGTATTTTACACCCTGTATAGTGTGTCCCATGAACGTTAGTGGATGACTACATTCTATTAGCATATTGAAAAGTTCTGTCCGTGTCCATATCTCAATAAATTTTTATTCCACCGTGTACTGGTATATAGTAATAGATGAAGAATTTTGTACTCTATTGAGTGACAAATTTTTCCCTACGAATTCAAATTGAATCAAAATGCTGCCAAAAGAGACCAAAAAAATACAGGCATTTGGTAATGATAGTCTTAATGAACGCATTATTCGACGTTCGTTTGCGAAATTTCGTTCCGGAGATTTTAGCTTCCAATATGAGCTCTGAAGTGGTCGACCCACTGTACTCCAGACGAGAATTTGATGGAGAATGGCCCATCACAAACGGTGCGTGGAATAAAAGAAGAACTGGGTGTCAGCTCCCATGCGATTGTTGATGGTTTTAAACGTAATGAAAAGGCCAAAAAGCTTGAAAAACGAGTGCTCCACAATTTGAACGGTCGATAGAAATTGTCACGTTTTTAGGCCTGTTCTTATTTGCGCAACCAACACGATCCTTTTTTAGGCCGGATTGTCAAGTCTGATTAAAAGTGGATCCTCTACGATCACAGCAGACGTTCAGGACAGTGGTTATTGGATACCGATAAGCCACCCAGGCACTTCCCATGGTTACTGTATGGTGTTCAGTGGCTGGTGTGTTTCACTTCAACTTTATGCAACCGGGCCAAACCATCATATCATAGTTCTATTGTGAGGAAATCGACAAAATGAATCGAAATTTACGACAGCAAAAGCAGCCGGCAGTGGTTAACAAAAGAGATACGATCCTGCTCCACGACGACGCTCGTCCGCATTTTTCATAAATCTCCGTCCGAAAATTGAACAAATCAAGCGTCGAAGTTCTGCCTCACCCCCCATACTCCCTAGTCCTCTTGTCAATCGACTACCATCTTTTCAAGCAATCCGATAACTTTCTTACCGGTAGAACCTTCGTTAATTGGGATCAGGCAAAAACGGACTTCGTCGACGTCATCGAATCTCGAGCACACAATTTTTATGCTGATGGAATTAACCGACTCGTGTTACGTTGACAAAAGTACACTGATTCAAATTACGCTTAATTCCATCAATTCGAATAAGTACCCACTGAGTTTAAATTGAAAGAGGTATATTTTTAAAAGTGATTAACTTTCGAGAAAGAAAATTTTTGGCTTTCTTCTGCTCCATCTTGATACAAAAAAATGTGGGAATCTTCCAAAGAAAGGAAAGAAGCAATCAATTTCAAAAGAAGTAACTATACATAGATGTGTAGATCATGCAAAGAACTATCATCCAGATACAAACTGAAAGAAAACGCCCTTTCTACACAATATACTAAATGCAAAGAGTTACTGTAACGGTTAGAGTAACGGCAATGTCTGTGAACATTGCCGTTAAAAAAAAGTACATTCGTCACTAAAGCAAATATTGTGGAGATACGTTTCATCTGTAAATTTCATTTCAAAATAAACTATTCATACATTAATTTCATTATCCCAAATTTCAATTTTTTGAGTTGCCCGTTCAAAAAATAAAAGGGGGTGGACATTAAAGAAATGCACTGTATATGGAGTACAGTACATACAACTGAAAAAAATGAATAAATTTTTTGTTTTCTAGAAACTGAGATAACAAGATTAGACAAGTTATTATTGTAACAAGTTATTATTGTAACATACCAAACAAATAAACATGTCAAGTCAAACAGATATACATTGCATGTACAGCAATAATTCGAACCAATAAAAAAATGAGAGGAAAATGATTGCCAATATATAGAAATTGGCATGAAAATGAAAAAATAGAAGATACTCAAAATAGTATACATTGAAACTTGTTAACGAATAAATGGATATATGAAGAAGTTATTCCATATTTCCATTAGGAATTTTAGCACGAATTTTATAATGACGTAACATAATCATAAATAGTTTTGGAATATAAACTTAATGTTTTTATATTTTTTGGATTGTCGATAAAATGCAGACCAATTTATGAAGACTTTCTTGCTATTCGAACAAGAATCGAAATAAAAACACTATTGTAAAACTTCAGATTTTTTTTGATAATCTATGATTCGCTATCATCAATTTGCAAGAGTACTATCTAATAAAATGAAGTCTGATTCGTTTTCTGTTGTATCTGGTGTATCGCTCAAATATTTTTGAAAAATGTCCAATTCAAGGCCACTGCGATTCACCACAAAATTTGTAATAGTGTAATTCAATCATGAACAGCTTTGTTGAATGTTTCAGAAGTGTTGAATTATTGATTCGATGAATTATCAGTTTGATTTGTGAATATTTTTTTTAATATTCAAACAAGCTTCGAAAAAACATATATGAATTTTTTGTTGGAAATCTGCGATTCGTAAGAGAACTATCTATGGGACTGAAAGTTGGTTAGTTTTCTTTCGTATTTTTATATTAGGTTTTTTCAAAAATTTTGTCCGTTTTTTGATTCTACTTTGAACTGTAATATCTCAATGAATACTTATTCATTTGAATCGAAATTTGAGTCAGTGCACTTTTGCCAACGTAACACAAGTGGAATAATTTTGTCGGCAGACAATTGCGTGCTAGACAACAGGTGGGAAAGTTATCGAAGTGCTTGAAAAGATGTTAGTCGATTGGTGAAGGGTCTGGGGAGTATGGTGGCTGAAGCCGAACTTTGACGCTCAATTAGTTTCATTTTCGAACAGTGATTTGTGAAACGTGCAGACAGAGTTGTCATGGAGCTGAATGGGACCTCTTCTGTTGATCAGTGCCAGCTAACGCAATTTTCGGTACATTTTATCAATTTCCTCACAATAGGACTCTGCTGTGATGGTTTGATCCTGCAAGAAGTTATAGTGAATCACACCAGTCATTGATCACCATACAATAACATTGCTCTTTTTTTTGGTGAGTTTTCTACTTTGGAAAGTGCTTGGGTGGCTCATCGGTATCCAACCACCGTCCTGAACGAGTTCGGTTGTCGTAGAGGATCCACTTTCCATCACACTATCCAAAAATTAATTTTGGATAGTGTGGGTTAATTTTGGTTGTGCAAAAGTAAAGAAGAAGAGACCTCGAAACATGAAAATTTCTGGCGATCGTGGACACCCACTTTTAGAGCTTTTTGACCTTTCCAATACGTTTGAAACCATTAAAAACCGCATGAAACTGACGCTCATAAATATTTAAAGAATGTCCTCCACAACCCCTGAGATCACTTTTTGAATTGTAGAGTAAAAACTTTACTTGAAAAGTGATCTGATTTGTATCAACCTTGCGGATACTTCGAGATACTGCCGTTACTATATAGCAAAGTGAATGCTAAAATACATTTGTTTGAACTTTCCATAACCTCTCTCCTCTATTACTGTAATTAAACGTTATATTTAGAAATTAATATTAGTTATTGAGATTCCTTGAGTGAACTAGGACCTAGATAACGAGGAGGGAATGTTCATAAATTCAAAGTGAATCCAAAATAATCATTTGGAGAAACCTCCACTACATTTTCTAAGCAAAAGCAAAAGTTGATGACACATGAAAAAGACTCACCGTTCATATGTTCTATTCAGCTGATCTAGTTTCTCAGATAGGGCTGTTGCAGATGATGCTGAACACTCTCTCAGGAAGATCAGCACAGTATTAGACAATTGCACGACCTCTTCCTGATGACTTTTCAGTGAAGTTGTTTCCGACTGTAATTCCTGTAATGAAAAATATATGAATACTCTGACCCGTTGAATGAAATCATTAATAACACTCTCCATGATAATAATTATACAGGGGTGGCAAAAGTCCGGAATGAAATTAATATCTTTTTAATATCTTTTTAACCAGTATTTTAGGAAAAAAACGCTGAAACACGTCGGTTGATTTCACTTTGTGCTCATTTTTCATCAATAAAATGAAATATTTTTGTTCAACCCCTCAGCTGCAACTCTCCCCAACTTTTTTTTTCAAATGTAAACCTATGTCGTGTATGGGCTCATTGAAAAGCTCGTAAAGAATGGAATCTGACCATACCCTCTATTTTTTTTACTCATGCGGTTACCACGAAATGAGAAAAAACTCTTTTAAAACCAAAAAATTTAGAAATACCTACTTGCTATATACGGGTGAATTAACGTTGCAAAAAACAAATAAGTGGTGATGATGGTGAACTTACACATAAAATTAGTTCCATCCCAAGCAATTGTTGACCAGTGTACCTCAAAAAAAGAAAAAGGTTGTTGCATTTTTTTGTACCAAAATGAATGCCCTGATGAGAAATATTGTCTTGACTCAGTTTCAAAATTGTGGCATTTTTAGGTGAAATTGAAAATAATGTATGTTTAGTTTAATAATTGGGTACCTTCAAAGTGTTCTTTTTTAATTGGCTAAACAAAAATGGTATTGTCAGAGAGGCAGCGTATAGAAGTCTTGATATCGTTGGGATGTGGGGATAGAATGCGGAGTCAAAGTGAGGTGTGTACTTTATTTAATGCAAAATATCCGGAAAATCACATTTCCCAGGCTACTGTGAGTAAGATCTTACACAAATTTTAAGAACATGGTACAGTGAAGGACTTGCCCTGAAGTGGCCGGCTACATGTTTTTAGACGAAGATCAAAAATTGGACATTGCCATATCTCTGCAGGAAGATCCACATTTGCCAACGGTTTCATTAACCCAAAACAATCCTGCGACTAGACGTACGATTGGGAGGTTTTTGAAAACAGAAAAATACCACCCATATAAGGTATGTCTTGTCCAAGAGCTCTTGGAAGATGACTATGACAGGCGTTAGCAATTTTGTGAGGAAATAATGAGGCGATGTGACGAGAATAATGGGTCTCCACTTAACACACTCTTTTCGGACGAAGCTACTTTTTATTTACATGTAGTAGTTAACAGGCACAACTATCGATTCTGGAGTCAGGAAAACCCACGCTGGATATGGGAAGCTCGTACGCAGCGTCTTCAGAAAGTAAATGTATAGGAAGACATCATCAACAACAGAATATTAGGGCCATACTTTTTTAGGAAAACTTTACAGCTGCACGTTACTTAGACTTTTTACGCTTTGAATTAGTCCCTGCTTTAGCTGTTATGTTTCCCAATGAAGCAGATCCAGATAACCCCACTGAAACACTTTGGTTCCAACAGGACGGCGCTCCCCCAAATTTTGGTATTAATGTCAGAGAATATCTCGATGACATATTTGAAGGCGCTGGATTGGACGACGTGGTACAATTGAATGGCCGCCAAGATCTCCAGACTTAACACCATTAAATTATTTTTATTGGGGATATATGAAAGACAAGATTTATCAAAATAGGCCGGCTAATATTGAAGATCTAGAAAGCAGAATTAGAGTGGAATCACATAATATACCGGCTGAGCCATTCGGAATTCCGTAGACGGGTTTTACCATCGCCTAGGAGCCTGCCAAGTAAAGGGTGGAGGCCAATTTCAGCATCTGTTACGTTAATTCACCCGTAGATAGCAGCAGATAGCAGAAGTTAGGTATTTGTAACTTTTCAAAAGAGTTTTTTCTCATTTCGTTGTAACCACAAAAAAAATAAAGGGTATGGTCATAATCCATACACTTTACAACCCAAACACGACATAGGTTTGCATTTGAAAAAAAAAGTTGGGGAGGGTTGCAGCTAAGGGGTTGAAAAAACAAATTTCCTTTTATTGCCAAAAAATGCGTACAACGTGAAATCAATTGACGTGTTTCAGAGTTTTTTTTCCTAAAATACTGGTTAAAAAGATATTAATTTTATTCCGGACTTTTGCGCACCTCTATAGAATTTTCACAATAAACTTTATTTAAAACGCGTTTCGCTACACGGTAACTCTCAGTGGACAAACCTCACTTTACTCTGAACAACAGAAATATTTCAATATACAGTGGAGCTATGCACTACTTCAGGGTGCCAAAAAATTACTGGAGGGATAGGTTGAGGAAAACGAGAGCAGCCGGATTAAATACAGTTGAAACATATGTTCCATGGAATTTACATGAACATCGAACCAGGTAATAATGTAATAATTTACCATAATAATATAATACCGGGAGTTAACGAATTAGTCACAACTGGCATTAGTCAATAAATCCAAAAGTCATAACTTCTAGAATATTAGGGGTATCGAAATGAGATGAATAGGTGAATAAATAGTATGTGAAGAGACTATTTCTCGCATATTTTTCTATTTTCAGTAACTTCCGGTTTCACCGAAACTGCGATTTAAACTATTTAAATATTCAAGCATTTTTAGCTTTTGGGACAATTCTGGATCAGAGTGTGATATTTTTAAAAGTTTTTTTACATATTTCATTGTTCAGAATTGCTTTCAATATTGCATTTAGTGGCCATGATCGGGCAAAAACTGATCATCAGTTTTTTTTTGGCAAAACAAAAACACTACAAGAAAATCCTTGATCTATGTTGAAAGAAACATTGAAAAACTATCATCTGGGATACTGTTTTTACTCAATCAATGAATATGTAGAACATTTTTCTTCAACCAAATTCCCACAAAAGTGCATATGTTATTTCTTTTTCATTTCTTGGTTGGTCAAGCTTTGTGTTAATATTGTGTAGATAGTTCTCCTTGACTGCAGAATAGTTTAGATAATGTCTGTGTTGTTCAATATTCATGATTCATTTCGATTGTAAATGAGTTGCTACAAACATATTCGAGTATGTAACGTAGTCAAAAAACTTTTCTCACTTTACCTTTTAATGTGCGATACCGAGCACGTTGAATAGCACCAATGAATTAGTTACATTTTCAACAACGAAAAATAATAAAACTTGGCAGTGTTGAGAAAAAATATGTTTAAAATATGTTTTTCCGTTAACCAGCTGTCGCCCACTACGAACGACAGCTCTCAGAAGTAGAAACTTGTGCGAGCTAAGGACTAACGAGGTCTTACTTGCAACGTGTGATTCCTCACACGAGTTGGACGATAGCAAGTGAAAATTGATCGTTCAACCTGCGGCTTGAACCACCGACTAACACGGCGGTTGTTTGAGAGAGTGAACAATACACCAATGTCAAACCGACCGGCTACCGACCGGCTACCGACGAAGAATCATTTATCAAATTCCGTGCTACGGAAGAAAAACAGGTTTCCAAGTTATTGATACACAAAAAAGAGGGTTGGAGAGGCAATATGGATCCCTGGAGAACATCAGCGTTGATAGTGAAAGTATTTGAGAGATATCCATCGACGGCCACTTGCACGAACGTTCTTTCAAGAAGCTGAAGAGCCATACACAAAAGTGATCCGACAAGCCATAGTATCGAAGTTTGGCCAGCAAACCCTCATGCTACACACGGTCAAAGGCCTTAGAAATATCAAGCTCAACAGCTCTTGACTCTTCATGTTTCTTGATTGCGTTATTCCAAAAATTGGTGACATACTATAGAAGGTCGCCTGTTGATCTTTGTTTCCGAAATCCACATTGATGATCGCTTAAGATGTTGAAGCCTCCCAAATATTTGAGGATATGGTAGTTTACGGCTTACTCTATGATTTTTTATGTCACTGATACTGAAGCGACTGGTTTATAGTTATTTGAAAGAGTTTTCTTGTCCTTTTTGGAAATAAGCTGAACGCGAGCAGTCTTTCATCAAGGAAGAAGAAACCCTTACTTGTAAAGCAGGTTGAAAAGTCTGCAAAATACTGGTGCGAGTTCATTTGCGCACTTTTCAAGTAGGATGACGGGCACTGCTTCAGGACCAGACGCTTCGTTGATATTGAACTGTTTCAAAAGTCACCTGACTAGACGCTGTCGAAAAATATTTTCCGGCATTGTGGATTCTAGTGTGGAAGTACTGGGTGGTGCCTTTTCCAGAAAATCGACTGTGGACTGGAACGCAAATTGTTCAGCTAGTAGATGTGCTTTATCTATAGCTATTGTTGCAATTGAACCATATACTTGTGTTAGTGGTGGAATTGTGGGTTTTGTAAAGTTCTGATCAACAGCTTTAGCTACTGACCAAAAGGATCTATATCCGTCGGGATTGGCAAGCAGTTTATCTCTAATTTTCTGATTGCGAAGTTATTTGATTTCATTTTGCATCAAGTGTTGGTACTGGTACTGGTATCAGTTACTGATGAAGCTGCCGTGTGGCGAAACGCGTTTTGAATTCAATAATTATTATCATGGATCATAAAAAAATAGATGTTTTATAGATGTTTCCAAATAATTTGGAGAAGAAAGGAATCTTTCACAACATTAAATGGGTTATGACAGTAGGAAAATATTATGATCATTGCGGAATAGATGAATTGAAGCCGACACGGGCGATAATATTGGGTCAATTTTAGGGATGGAAACTGGTATTTCACTATTTACATCGAAACGCGATATTGTAACTGAAAAAAAAACTTTCGTATGAACCATTTTTTCATAAAACTAAAATTTCTACTGTGAAATAAAAATTATAAGAACGTGATTTTAACGATCATTTTTTAAATGATTGTTTCGAACTTTCAATTAGTATTCATCAATATTTTTTAGTTGATATATAATGTGACATTATGAAATGGAGTAATTTGCAAATCTTTGCAAATATATACACTAAATAAAAATTATAATAAGAAATCTCGTTAAGAATGTAAATATCATTTCACGAAAAAATCTGAATGAATCGAGAAAATATATTTTTTTGTTTACTTGTTTCTCACGAATATTATTTGTTTCTTATGAAATTTGGTGGAAACCTGAATTACTGAGTATTTAATGAAATTTTGGTATATCATCCTACATTTGCATGTAAATTAACTTTTTTTCAATGATTTATAATCAAAATATCATCATTTCTATTTTTTCACAAGTGAAATTCAATTGTGACAAATAATCAGTTCAGAAAATGCTGAGTGTTCATATCTACAACGTGGGGTTGATTATCATATTTTTTTAAAGGAAATTCACGTTTCAACGTTGTCGATTCCAAGGCCATCAAATCGAACTGTACTCACCTCGATAGTTCTCCTAGTCGAAACCACGTGCTCCTTGTTCCTAACCACGCAGTCCACGTGCTTCGCTTTCTCTTCGATACCCGTAAGCAAACTTTCGAAATTCTGCCATCTTCCTTCGAACGTCTCCCAAACCTGGGCTAGACTCGTGAGAGTGTCTCTTCTGCTCTCCAGATCCGACACCAGCGACGTCCATTCTTCTGCGACCTTCGCGCTCTGGCCTTGGATGTTCTGCTTGTTGCGCTGGTCGGCCTGTTTGGTAATTTCGTTGACTCGCTCTAAGAGCAGGTCCAGTTCTAGTTGTTGATTCTGAAAAGAGAAGGAAATTCAATATTCGACACCTTCGACAGAAATTTTAGACTTGGTTTTGTTAGAATGCACGGTACGTGAAGTGTAAAACAAATTGTTTCGAGGACAGCGACAAAACAGTATCAAATGAAAAAAAAATCAAAGCATTCACTTTCAACATTGAAATAGTTTCTTGTTAAAATTTTTGTCTCAAAATTGTTTAAACGAGACGTATTTAGTGATACTAACGAATGAATTGTATATGCTAGAGAACTGTTGGAAACCCCGAAATCGGAGGCATAAGGTCACCCATTTATTTCATATGGATGATCTCAAAGTTTATGCCTCTTGGGGAAAGGGATCTCCATCAGTCGTCGAGGGTGGTGGAAGAGTATACACATGCTATCGGTATGAAATTGGGGATAGACAAATGTGCAACGATCTATCTCAAAAGAGGACGATGCGTGTAGTACAGAGAGGATGTGCCGCTTTCAGGCAAGTATCAGCACAAACTTCGACATTGGAGTAGGTCGGAAAAAAATCAATGTTGCTGCTAAGAATATGTTTGCCGTTTCGATCTTTGAAGTACTCTTTGAAGTAGTGTAGTGATCTTCGAAGAAGCTGTGTCAACTAGAGGTAAATAGCCGAAAAATGATGCATCTCCATATGAGATCGCATCTCAAATCAGCAGTTCTAACTTTCCACAATTGTCGAAGTCATCACTGCGTATACGTCACTGGGTCCTAAAATTATTAGTCCAGCCACTTCCTTGGCTGGACTAAGAAGTCGGCAATGCGATTACCTTTACGCCTGTCGTACCCTTCGGCTAAATATTGGTGGCACTCTAGTACTAGCCCTGAAGTTACACGTTGTATGTTCAAGGCCTGTCCACTATCAGTGCAGATTGTTATGCTAAACCAGTTTAGCAAAAGGCACATATAAAAGCCGCAGAGATCACTTCACTACTGGGGCAACATCAGGGGTCTTTCACAACTTTGAAGATTTCGTGTTGTCAAAGCACCTGACCTTCACTTTTCTCAGGTGGAGTGGGTTATGGTTGGAAACTGAGGGTTTCATCATGGGCTACCAAAATTGTATATTCATCACCTCAATATACCGTAGTCGGTTGATGTGTATAGAGGTTCTTGGCATCAATTGCAGGATCTACCGCGAGGCGCTTTAGACCCTAATGCGCTTACTCTTAACATGTCCAGCATATGCGGTCCCAACCTATATCCATCGACATAATGCGGCCCTAACAATTATTTATTACCATCCACGGCACTTTTACGATATTGACGAGACAGCGGTGTTGCTCCAGGGGATATCGAATTCGTTGTGGGGAATGAGAAGTACCGAATTCATTGGAACTATTCGTTCTCCACCCCCCAGGGTTATACAAGTTAATGAGCCTACTGTCATTCTTTTGGATCAACAGAGCCAGCCGATATTTGTGGTAGAGCTTTCAACTCCGGGTGAGCCGAATATCGTCCGAATACAGGGCACTTACCGAAAATTGAATTTACCTGTCCCATTTTTTTGAAGAGCGTTTAGTTAGAAAATATCCCAATCGTGATTAGTATCTGAATTTAATAAAGCCGTACAAGATGTTTTGGCAAATTATTTCACATTTCGATAAAAACATTTCGAAAAAACTCATTTTTCAGTGTTACTATTTTTCTGGTTCGAAGGCCGGGTATTTTTGGAATTTCTTCCTGACGTTTCACCGCCGCGAGTGGCTAGCTTCTTCAGAGGTTTGTACATCCTGAATTACTATCTGATGACTGAAAATTCAGCCTTAAAAATACATCATGGGCTTGCAATCTAACAATTGTTTCATTGATCTATCAATTGAACAAAACTATAATGTTTCTTGTCTAAATATTCTAGAAATCCTGGAACGTTTCCGGTACCTTAATCTAGAGATCATTATCACTTCCTCCATTATTTAGATACTTCAACCGAATGTAGAAATATTTTTTGATATTAATATTAATTGAATATAATTCCAAAAAATTATCATCATTGACAAATACAAAAAAAATCAGCAGTTCAATCATTAGTTCCCTCTAACGTCAATAAATGTAACCAGTCGATAGGCGATGCCGGTAGACAATTTACCTTATCAACTGAAGAGTTTGGCATGTTAAATCCACATTGGTATAGTCTTTCATAAAACACAAAAAACAGTTGAGTTCACATGTCACGAAATTTCGACTCATTAGCAAAGTTAATTTTCAGTCTCACATTCGCGCACACTTCAAGAATTAACTCATACTACGCTCGAGTCGCGGCCTCGCGTTTTGTACATTTATGAAGTGCATTCAAATGCTATATCAGTGATGTCAGATCGTGATATCAGAACTTTAAAAATAGAATGGCATCAGTCATGCTTCGAGTTGTTTACCTTTGTACGATAGGTTGCCTACTTTTAGTTATTAATTTTGCATAGCTAATATGTTTACATAAGTACAAGTATGTCTCGGTTGCTCCATGCTTCGGGCCAAGTGCTTTTTCGGACTCAAATATAGTAATTTCGGTGACGACAGCATAGACGACAAATACTTTTCAATTGAAACTCACTAATAAATACAGTTTACTATGAAATTTTCGAAAGTGATACTACAAGACTTCAGAATGTTTTGATATTTATTATTTAGCAATACCATAAGATCAATCAGCATGTTGAAACGACGAATCCATAGGACACGTTGTTTATTGCTGATTGCTCGATTAGTACTGCTCAAAAATAAAATAGTTTGAGTTGAAAAAATGGGCATTCATCTGAGAAAATGGACATTCATCTCAGGTCGAGTGGCAGCTGAATGCATCGCTATAAGAACAAAATTTATCGTGCCTTCGCATGAGATCGCAAAGGAGGCACCCGAGTCAACCAACTTATTAGATTGTTTCTAAAGTTTTGTCCGTTTTATTGCCATATACTTTTGTAGATTCATATCTCAATAAATAATTATTCTACTACGTCGTGGTGTGAACTGATCGATAGAGAATTTTGTACTATATACATTGATGCTGTTCATTTTCTGCCTCTTCAGGCAAATTTGATTCTAAGAATCAAATTGAACCAAAGCGCTGCCGAAACTGCCAGAAAAATTTATCAGGCATTTGACAATGATAGTTTTAATGAACGCACTGTTCGACGGTGGTTTGAGAAATTTCTATCAGGAAATTTTAGCCTCGAATGTGAGGCTACAGTAATCAAACTACAGTACTACAGGTGATGATTTGCGGACCCTGGTAGAGACAAGTCCAATACTAACGGTGCGTGGGATGGCGGAAGAACTGCGTCAGCTCCTACGTGGTTGTTATGATTTAAAACGTATTGGAGAGGTCAAAAATATAAATTGTTGGTATTCAAGGTGGTGATTGAATATGAGGATTGTTTTTTTTATTTTCCTGAGGTTATATGAACCAAAGAAGCGTGTCAATTCGTTATTCATCCGATCTACATATTCATTTCTGTCGCCTCAGTAGGGTTAGGGTTAGGGTTTAGTCACTGTCATAATCATAATATCAAATTAAACCTATGAATTTCTGTAGAAGGAAGTATGCAAAGTTTCAATATTTACTCTTACAATCATTTATTCATTTATTTAATTTCATCAGGACAGTGACATGATCAAAATTATGAGAACGATGAATAACTAGGACCTGAGAGTCACATATGGTTAAAAAATAATGACCGCCAAAAATTTTACAAGAACCAACTTTGTATTGAGAAACCTACGACTGTCCTTAAATGTTCATCAGGTTAAGATATTTGTACAGACCAAAAAAAATTCAATTTTGGACACATCATTGATTCATTTAATAAATATCATGTGACCATATGTTGTCTTATAAATGGTCACACGTTCTAAAGTTCTCATGATGTTCATGGTAACATTGGAAGAAAAATAGCAACGATTTGCGAAATATAGCTACGATTATGATGTTGTTAAAACTGCAAGAAACGCGAGTGAGTTTTCGATTCAAATATTTTTTCAAACGAAAAAAAAAAACAAATCAGAAAAAATGTCAGAACAGTAACATTTTCAATTGATTTTTATTATCTCATGTAGTTGAGTTACGGTTTGAAAAGGGATAAGGATGGAAAAGAAAGGTTTTGGCTTTCTACTTCTCCATCTTTATACTAAAACTGATCTCTACTAGGTACTTGCAATTCAAACGGGATTAGGAGGCATTGATTATAGGATCCTTTCGTTTTCGATCAATTGAAGATCATTCATATGATAGAAGTAAGTGAAGCCATCAATGGAGAACTCTAGTTGATAATAATGATTAGTACAATATTGTGGAAACATAACCTTAAACTGAGCCTCAAAACTTTCAATCAATCATATATTTTGTCTGTCATCTTGAACAATGAGATTTCGCTCAACCCCTAATCTATTCAAGAGTTGAACCGAATTTTTCTACAAAAAAGGTACAAGAAATGTTTATAGACAATCTTATAATGAACAAAATAGGTGACAGCTTATATTATCCGATACTTGATAGTTCAGTAGATATTAAATAAAAACATTTAATTTTGCACCTTTAATTTTTACCAAAAAAACCTACTTTTGGATTTGCTCGGGTTTTCCGGGATTTTTCTTTATGCTACAATGAAAAATAGCAACTGGTTGCAATAATTTTTGAGAAAGAAAAGTTTTGGCTTTTTACTTCCCCATCTNTTTTGAAGTTTATTTACCATGTTGCTGAAATACGTCTTATATATGCTATTTTTTACGCCACTGAAATCAATTTGCAGTTGAAACACCCAGCGTAGGAAAAACTTGATATTCCTACTAGAATTCTGAACCATCACTCCATACATTTTATTTTTGAACGTTATTTAAATATTCATTGCGTAAATAATCTAAATATAACGTCAAAGACAATCTCGTTGGTGAATTACGCCTAACGTCAATTCTAATAAATGAATAATAACGAACACAACAGAGGTTACTCACCTGAATATCGTTGAGAGCATGCGAGATCTTTTGAATGTTGAAATGCAATCCAGCCAGTGTAGAAACAGGCTCATCCGTAAACTTAGTCCTCGATAACACAGCCTTTACTTTGTCGAGAGTCTGGCAGTAGTCTTTCCAAATTTCAGCGTCCTGCTCCATTTGAGCCCTTTGTGACTTGGCCGAATTCAGCGTGTTCTTCAACATCTGAGTATGCTGCTGTTGTTCTCTGCTCAATTCTTCTTGTTCGTTGGGCGTCAGGCTTGGCCATATTTTGTCTGCAGCTTGCTGGATCGTCTGAGAAACCAACTCTTTGATATTAGCTTCGGTCGTGAAGAAGATCTTGTGCTCTTCAAGATCCTGCAAGATATTCTCGAAATCGACACCGTTCTTGTGCGATGCTAGGCGAATCTCTGCTTCCTTCACCCAGTCGAAGAGCTTTTGCTTTAAAGCTGAATACTCATTTCTCAGAGTCTTATTAGAATCTAAATACCTCCGACACTCTTCTAATTCTCGTGGTAATGATGTTAAGAGTGAATTTGCCTCTTGTAGTTGTTCCTGCAAGGAACCTGGTACGCTGTCGTCATGCCTAGTCACATCTTGTATTTTTCTAATCTTGTCCAGGTAGACATTGACCTTCTCTGAGAGCTCGTGGTGGTTATTCAACTCATTATCAACGCTCTTCACATCTCTACTCAGCAGAGGGCGGGATCTCACGGCGGCTTCATTATCATGGAGCCAGTCGAGAATTTCTTCCAATTCTGTGGCGATCTTCTTATGTTCTGCTGCGGTATTCTCATGCTCCTGTCTCTGTTTCTCCACAGCCCTTCTGAGATTCTGTAAAGACTGCTTGAGAGACTGGATCTGTTCCGTTATAGTGTTTCGATCTTGAGCGGATCCATCAGCAGCAATTTGCTGTCCTTTATCAGCAGCTGAGGCCAGGAGAGCCTCACATTCTTGTATTTTGATAATCACATCGTCGTACTTTTTGATTTTCTCTTCGATGGTTCCACCAGATTTTTCAATGTCACGTATTATCTCGGTATATTTTGTGATGAAAGTCATGATTTCTGTTATCAAAGATAAGTATTGTTCCCTGAGAAGAAGCAGTTGTCGGAGTTTAGCGATTTGGTCCTCTATAGACTTGATGAGATCATCTTGTAAATTCACGACACTCTGTAGTTCGGGGGCATTTGCTCCAGGGACACTGCCCAACTTAGCCTTGTTATCCTTGAGATCTCTCAAGATTCTTTCGTAAGTCGACAGAACGTGCTGGACATCTTCTACTTTTGGACCAAGAGGTTTGTTCAGTTCCTGTATTTGGATCTGGATATCTTGTATAACGCGTTTGCTTTCTTCTATGCGTGCCTGGGCCTCTTTGAGTTCCTTGATGTTCTGTTTCAGAGCATTTGTTCTGTCGTCGATGATAGTTGTGATTCTGGTGTGTCTGTCTCGTAAGCTGTTCAAGGTGTCATTCAATGTCAGCTTATCCGACTCGCTGATTGTTGGTAAAATTGCTTTAGCTTGCTCTGCAATTTTCTCTATATCACCTTGGATCTTCTTTGCATCTTTTTGGAGTTGTTGGTACTTCGCCAGTTGTTCTTCGAGAACTTCTAGACTAGCTGCTCGAATATCTGAAGAGGTGGCAACTTCGGCTTCTTTGAGCCAGTTAATGCATTCTTCAATATCGCTTTCAAATTGTCTCCTTCCTTGGAGCAGATCTCGTAAGGAATTTATTTTATGAGTCGATTCCTGTTTTAGGGTATCATATTCTTCTTTGACTTCATCTAATAAGTGTTGCAAGCGTTCTCGATCGCTTTCATTACATTCTTTCAAAACGCTGTTACCCAGTTTGAGAAAATCATTCAGATCTCCGTCGCTAAATTCTTTGATATCAGCTTCGTACTTCATATACTGGGCGATTTCGCGTTCTACTTGATTTGCTTGAAGGGGTAGGTATCCGGAAAGTTTTCTGACTTCAGCATTCTTAGCTTTGAGCCATGCCTTCACTCTCTCCAGATTAATTTCAAGGTTTTTCCTAGTGTTCGCGGCAGCCGTGACTCGTTCTACCTCGGATTTTATTTTCTCTACCAGCTGTTCTTGTTCATTTTCCAAGCTATTCAAAGAATTCTGCAGCTGACTAAACTCTAACGGTTCGAGCTCGTTGCTCATATTAGTTATTCGCCTCAGTAAAGTTTCTTTCAGAATCAGTTTATTTGCAGCCTCTTTCAGAAGGTCAGACAGAGAATTGATTTTGTCTTCAGCTTTTCGACTTTCGAAACCTAGTGGCTCAGGTCTCTGCAAGCTTACCAATTTCTCTCTCAGCCAGTCTCTTGCAGTCTCGATTTCATTCCTGGTATCTTCAATTCCCTTTCTGGTACTCTCCAGCACCTGCAACTTGCGTTGAAGTCTTTTTGAGATGTCATTGTATCTCCTTTCAATAGATTTAGTTTGTTCTTCGACTTGTTGGGAATCGAGATTATTGACTAATTCGATAACTTGGCTAGCTAATCTCTTGACTTCGTCTAGTCTCTTCGGTCCTTGGTCGTCAAATTCTGCTTTGACGTCAGTTATTGCAGTCTGTTTCTGCTGGCAATTCAAACCGGATCCTTTATCAATGACTTCTATCCTCTTGACTAAATTATCGAAACAGTTATTGATCACTTGCACATGCTGTCTATATTCGTCGATAGTTTCAAGATCTGCTCTTTTGGTTGCAACTAGAGATGTAAGATCATTCTCTAGTTTATCGAGCATATTTTCGAGTTCCTCGTTTTCATCACCAACGGCTCCCAATTCGGTAACTAGATGGTTTCTGCGGATGCCGATTGAGGATAAAACATCGTTCATGTTATTGAGTTCTTGTTTGGCAGCATCAGCCCTCAGTTTAACTGGACGTTTCTTCCAATCGTTTATCAATGCCTCTTGGGCCACAATCCACTTCTTGAGCTCATGCCTTTGTTTTTCTTTCTCTTCAAACTCGGCAACAGATGTTGTCAAGTCGCTGAGATGAGATTGCACCTAAAAACATTATTGTATTATTTCTCAACTCAATTGTTCAAGGAGAATGTATTTTTTTGTTCTGCATAGGTGTTGTAATATATGGGTATGAGCAAGTAGGTGTGACATTATTACAGTTTGCCAAGAAAGGGATGTTCTACTGTGAAATAAGAGAGATAAGATTATTTTCAGAATCTAGCAATAATTTGTGGAATATATAAACTTTGTGTATTCACATGCGTTTATGAAGAAAATCAAAATGTTTGATAAATTTCCCACGTAAAGTTCAAGCCATTTCCAACACCATTTCAATTTTGGATTATCACTGAGCTGAAGTAATATATGAATGGTAATATGGAAGTAATTGGAAAGAGACTGAAATCATATGAAGCAATTCAGAGAATCCATTCTATAGATTGAAGACTTCAAGATAACAAGATGATTTTTCATTCATTCAACCAGAATCATGTGGAATCGCAGGTAGTTGCAAGAAATGAACAATGTTTTTTTCGAAAAATAATTGAGAAAGGTGAAAAAACAGTATATAAATATTGGACTGTAACTTTGAAGCAATTCGTAAAGATGTTAACCTTCCAGGTATATTTAATCATGCGGAATGAATATCTTACAATAAAGGCAAAGATCAGATTTTGAAACGATGGTAAGAAGTTTAAATTTGCTCAAAAAGTTTGGTAGTGAATGAAGAAGGAGAAAAAAAATAATGAGTTTTTAGAAGAAATGGACACAAATGAAAAAATGATACAAAAAAAAACTGGGAAATTTTATTGACACTGAGTTCTTACAAATCTTATAATTGTGATGAAATACTCAACAAATAATAAACCGGTTTGATGAGTGTCAATGAAAGTGGTGTTTATTGAATATTCTCAAAAAAGTATTCATGAATGTTACCTTAATTTTTCACTCACCCTCATGAAAGATTAAAAAATATTGTTGCAAATATTCTATTCATCATAAAATATACTAGGATTATAAATACTTATGTAACCTTTCAAAATTTTTGGGCCATTGGATTGAAACTGAAAACTAAATGACCAAACATAGGCAAAATTGAAATTTTTGGCTTTCATAATCTGTAAAATTGAACGATTTCCTAATTACAGACAAACACCGTCACAGACAAACCAAGCTGCAACTACAGTGCAATGTTAAATGATAAAGAAACCAGCGAAACCTACCTTATCGACCAGTGTGTTCAGTTTACCAATATAACCACGCGACGTTAGTTGTTCCAAAAGCAATTTCAGTTTGTGGTGTTCTGAAGTTGAGGACTCCTCGTGCTTCTATGTGCAAAGCAAAAAATACGTGCAGTGAAATAATAAAACAAAAAAACAATCAATTAACGCACACAACTACGAGTACTGTTATTTTGATTAAGGCCGGCCAAACACGATAAGGTACACCTGAACCTATCGTATATGGCCGATCCAAAACCGTTGATACTCTTACCTGATCGATCAGATCTTCAAGACGTGCCCTACATTCGAGTTCTTTGATGGGCACGGGTGGAGGAAGAGTGTCTCTGGGGCTGCTTGGCCGACTTATCGAAGCTGTGGCAGCTTCGCAAGCTTGTACAGCGAGTCCCAAGCGTGATTTTTCGTTTTGAAGTTTATTATGAAGCACCTGAGATTGAATTTTGAATTAATTATTAGAAATCAGTCTATCTTCAAAATGGTGAATATAAATGGGTAATGAAGAATTTGGAAATGGGAAAATGTCTCTCAAAGAAACACAAAGCATGGTCATTAGAGGGAGCAGGTCTGGAATATGTACATCAGTTATGGAACAGGTATGTACATCAGGTATGGAATAGGTATCTCAGGCACGGAACATGTTTGAAACATAGAGATGAAAAAAGATTCGTGCATAAACATATGTATGCAGTTACTCAAGGGCATGAAGTATTCCGAAATTGCGTTTATTTTTGTGATACAAATAATCCTAACATCCTGCCTATGTTTTATATTTGATATATGTACAAAACAAATATTAACCAAAAGAATACAGTCAAAAAACTATCAACATTGAAATATCGAATATTTTGCCTATTCCATACTCCAATTCAACGGTCTCATCTATAAAAATGAACTGAAAACACTGTCGAAACAATTGTAGCTTACCTTCGCTGTTTCAAGCTGACTCTGCGCTGTTTTCAAATTCTCAATCGGTTTCTCAATCTCCTCCGCCACTATCGGTTCGTATTCATCTAGGTTCTGCATGATACTCTCCAAAGTATTCTCGTATTCTTTGAATTTTGACAGAGAATCAAGCAATCTGTTTTTGATTTGTATTGCAGTTTGCAAGAGCGAGTTGTAGCTATCCTGTACGTTATCCAATTGTTTCTCGATCGTATCTTTAATCGCCGGTTTGAATTCAACATATTTTTTGATTTGCCCATGACCATAATCTTTGACGTCATCTAGAGTAGTTTGGTATTTTTGAATCTCGTTTAGGAGAATCTCATGCTGCGCTAGTTGTTCTTCAGTCTGTTCTCGGTTGGTGATATACAGAGAATTGTGTGCCATGAGCTGAAAGGAAACTTGTAATAGCCATTTCTCCGTATCTTGTAACTTTTGGTAATAGTTGTTATGATCCTCCAGTTCTTTTTCCACGGACTTTTTCAGAGCGTTACATATATCTCTTAACTTAGCATGCCTTGTTTCCAATTGCCAAACTCCTTCCATCACTGCAGGCTGTTGTGCCCATGAACTAAGTTCTTCTGCTACGCCAGCAATTCTAACCAACTCTCCTTGCTTATTCTCAATCTCGGTATGCAAATTTCTGTACCGCTCCAGCTGTGTCTTTATTTCGCTAAGTTCTCCCAATGTTGATGGCTTCACTTCAAGATTCTTTTCTGTTGTGGTTAACCAAGATTCGAACTTCTGCCTACTATTATTGAATTCCTCCCAGCGTGCCAAGCTAGCCTTGAGTTGAGCTTGAATGGACTTCACATCCATATTGACTTGGTCCCAGCTATTCCTCAGTGTTGTCATATCGTCTCTCAATGCTTCTTGTTTTTCCGCCGGCGCTGTATTGATGGCTTTCGAAAAAGCGTCTTGAAGGTTAGACAGTAATTGTTGTCCCTCTCCCATATTGGAAGAGAATTCCTTGACCATGGTGAGGTTCTCCTTGAGTTTACCTTCGTCGTTTTCCCCTACGCACTTCTGTATAGTATTATGAGCTCTTTGCAGCCACTCCTCTAGTTCGGCTTTGATCTTCAGGAACTCTGTTTGGTCATTGAGGTTCTTTTCTATCTTGGATACTAAGCTTTGAGCGTTAGTCAGTAGATGTGTGTATTCAGTTTGCAGTTGAACAGTTTTGTCTCTCACTCGGCCAACAGCACTTAGTTCTATGAGAGTTTCACAAGCGTCTGTGAGAGTTTCCATTTGTGGCTTGACTTCCACAATTTCTTCCAGCAATTTTCTGCATCTCTCCAGATCTTCCGGTTTGCTATTATCTAAACCTTGTTCCTTTTCAACTTGTTTTTTATAACCTTCAATGAGCTCTTTGGTAGAGTCATAATTAGTTTGATAATCTTGCCAAGCTTCTCTGCACGACTTCAAGGATTTCTGAGTGTCAGTACAAATGAACTGCAATCCCTCCCAGTCGATGTTCAACTGTTCAATTTCATTACGTATGATATCTTTGCCATCTTCACCGGTGGTTTTCATGACAACTATGCTAATCTCTATCGTTTTGTGAATTAGATCATCACCCTTAGTCAGCGAATCGACAATCTCAGAAATTTTGGCTTCTTTCTCAATTATTCTCTTCAACTCTTCATGGAGGTTTGAACAATTTTGTATCTTCATCTGCGATTCTCTGATCAACTCGTACGTTTTGTTATACAACGACTTGTACTGCTCATGTTGTTCTACTTGGAGTTCGAGTTCAGATACTGAGGATGATATACTCTTCTTGAAGTTATCATATCGTTGAATAGCACTTTCGTAATCTGGAGTTGATAAAGTGCTATCTTCGTTCAACTTGGACCTGAGTTTCTCCGCCAAGTCGCTATGTGAACCGAGTTCCTTCTGAACAGACTTATATTTCTCCAGTTTAGCTCTTTTCTCTCCGAGTTCGTTGAGAAAACCTTCATCGAAATGAACTTGTTGCTCTTGATCATGCAGCCATTCTATCAGCTGCTTGTACATTTTATCGATTTCTTCGAGCTCGTTGGCTCTAGCTTGTAGTTTGTTTCTAGCTTCCAGAACGTCGTTCAAAAGTTTTTCCATATCTATTTTGAGATTTTCTGTATCCTCTCTGATTTTCGCAGCGCCAGATTGTTCAGTATTCATGCTTACACGTTCTTTGAGTTCCTGAATGTATCGCAGTTTATTCTGTCCTTGTTCTAGTGATGTTCTGATATTCTTCACCACCTGTAATCTGTTATTTATTTCTGTTAAAGATCCGTGAACTTCCATGCAACCAGCGAGCTTATCTCTGGTCCTGTCTATCCAGTCCTGGCATTCTTGATGCAGGGTGCTATGCTGTTGATGTTCTTGATAGTGCAGTTCTAGTCTTCTCATCACTTCTTTTGCCAACGATAAAATTGCATTGTATTTCGTGGAGATTTGAGTAATCGCATTACTCACTCTTGTATCAGCGCAAGTTTCCAAAAGAACTTGAGCCTTCATGTTAAGTTTGTCTAGTTCAGTTTGCCAATCGAAAAGATTTTGTAACTGAAGTTGGAATTGCTCCAGTACAGCTCGCTTCTCCTCCAAGCTATTTTGAAGTTTATTGTAACTTTGCACCATCTTTTCAGTTTGGCCCAACCACTCCAATGCATCTTGGTACTGTTCTTCATACTCTGTCCATTTGACGATACCAACTTCCAGTAATCCTTTGATATGATTCAGATTTTCGACGTAGTTATCAAAGTCTTCCTGTAGCAAGCCGACTTCTTCCTCGATTATTTCTTTATCCATGTCGTCTGCAAATTGGATTGCCTTATCCGCTTGGTCGATTGCGGTTTCGAGTTTCTTCTGACCTTCCGCAACTTCACTGGAGAGTACTTTCAGCTGCGAGAGCTTACTTCCTAAACTCTCTTTGTCTCCGGTAGGCTCTGAACATTTACCAAGTTTCTCTTTTGCTACTCTTATCCACTGAACGAATTCATTGGCAGCATCGACAAAAGCTTGGTGTTGTTCGACTACTTCTTTTTGTTTATTGTACAATTCTTGAGCCTGCTTTGAAAGAATCTCGTACTTAGCAGATATTTCGGATGCTGGAGTAGCTTGCTTAAGGTCTTCAGCTTTGGAAGTCACAGACTGAATCATGGGTTCGAAAGACACGATATCTTGTACGATGCTTCCAGTTTCACGCAAAGTAGCTTTTCTCTCTCCAATAGGTAAACTGCTGAGGCCTCCTTTCTTCGTTTTGAGTATCTTTGGCTCAGTGACTTGCTGCAGCTTAGCTTCGCGGTCCGTTATCCATTGTTGAAGCTGGGTGTAAGAACTGTCATAATCAGCCCATTGCAGGAGGGCTGTTTCCAAGTTTACTTTGGCAGTAGACATTTTCTTTGCGATCCTATCCCAATCCCCTTGGATTTCTTTCAATTCGTTGTTGATCGCCTCTCTTCCGTCTGATCGGGTGTTCCTTAGAACTTTCTCACCGCAGTTCACGGTAGTGTGGACCAAATTCTGACCCTCTTCGCGTTTCTGAATAAGTTGTTGAATTTGATTGAGGTGTGACTGAAGGGTTTCCCTACTGCTGTGGGATACAGCTTCTGAACAGTTCCGAATCAAATCACGAGCATTGTCAATCCAACTCCTGGTCTTCTCCAAGTTGTTGGTGTATTCTTTGTGTTGTTCGTAGTTCGTCTCGACTTTATTCAAAACGTCCTTAGCCAGGTTGAGTTCGACTTGGTATCTCGAGTTGAGTTGTTGGAGTTGATTGTTAACATGTGTTTCCAGAGGCGATTTCAACAGAATACTCGCCGTCTTATTTAATTTCTCAATTTGGCTCTTACCATCGACGAGACGTTGCAAAATTTCTTGCACGTCTTGTACTTGCTTCTTTTTTTCTTCCACCGTCGGCATTAGTGCTATTTTCTGGTTTTTGATCAGTATAGTAATTTGCTGAAGCCAATCGGAAACTTTTTCATACTCATCTTTGTACTCACGCCAGTTGGCGAGAACGGCCTCTAGTTGTTCGCGTTGTTGCTTCAAGTCTTTGAACAACCTCTCGAAAGACTCCCTCAATGCCCTTATATCATTTTTGATGGACTCCTGTCCTTTAACACTTGTATGGGGTAATACAACCTGAGCCGTGTGTTCCAAATTTTCTAACAAAACTTCGCCTTGTGCTTGCTTATTTAGTAAGTGATCAAGAGGACCGGCGAGCATGTCGACTGTTAGTTTATCGCTCAAGGGTCTTTGAAGCTGAGGAACTTTCTCCTGTGCTCTGGTCATCCAAGCTTGTACTTCGTCATAAGCTTCCTTGTACGCCTTGTGGTCTTTGTACTGAGCTTCTCGCTCCAACATAAGTTTCTGAAATAAAATTAAAATTGTAAATGTTGATAATTTCAAATAATTTTGATTCACTTACGAAAATCTTCTGGGCAATGACGTCAAACCTTTCCAACATCGTTTGGGCTTCCACAACAGCATCACCTCCTCTCTTACTTTGAAGAACTTCTGCAGCTTGCGTTCTCAGGTTATCGACTTCAATTTTTTCGCATCGTACTTTCTCCTCCAAGGTCTTTATCCTGCCAAGCTGCGTTTTCTTCTCAGTGGCCGAACCTTGAAATTCTGATAGTTCATCATACTGGTTTTCTAGTGCTTCAATTGTTTTAACGAGAGCTTTTATTTCTTCTAGAAGCTCTACCCATTTCGTTAAAGAATCATCAAGCAGGCCTTTGGTTTCCACCATTGAACTTGCTAGACTGGACCATTCTTCTTGTAACTTGGCGAGGGTCTGATTGATTGCCTCATGTCCTTGTGGTGCGGTATTTGCTAGAACGTTCTGAGCTAGCTCTACCAAAGATTGCATTTTTGAAAAACCTTCTTCTTTCTTCAGTAACAGTTCTTGAATGGTTTCTAGCTTGGCTTCCAGGTCTTTCTGTGAAGCACCGTTTATTTCGGAACAGTAGGCCAACTTTTCTTTTATGTCATCCATCCAGTGAATAGTTTGTTCGACTTGAGAGTCAAAATCTTGATGACTGGTGACGTAGAGCTGCCAGCGTGCGGTTAGATCTTTGATTTTCTGGCATATTTGCTGATATTTCACACCGAGTTCTGAAATTTGGGATGGTCTACCCATGACACCCTTATTGAGTTGCTGAGCACGTTCAGTGACTTGGTCTATTTCTAGTTCCTTAGCTCGAATTTCTCCCTGAAGGGATTTGAGAGTCTCTAATTGGTCTTTCTTTTCAGATGCCGTAGCCTTGAGATCAACTGAATGCAGTTTGGTGTCGGTATTGCGTATCCACAGAAGACAATTGTCTTTCAGAGATTCGTACTCATTCCAGTTGCTTAGTTTGCTTTCTATTTGCTTGATGGCGGTTTCAGTAGCAGCTACCAAACCGGCCCATTCTTGTTGGGAGTTTTCTATTTGAGAACGAATATTTGTCTGGCCGTAATCAATGGTACCTGGAATCACTTTATCTCCCAAAATTTTTATAGACATTATCCTGGATTCTTCGTCTGGTAAAGTTGCTTTCAAGGTCTGAAAAATAGGGAATAAAATTAATATCAAACGACTGAACTAAGATTTGGAAATGAAGGACAAATGACGCAAAACCAGAGATGTGCGAAGGTTGAAATGAATGATAAGAAAGGAAATTTATGTTTGGAATACTCTATAGAAGAACAAATTGGGTTTTCCTATATATTTTCCAGAACCAGACAAAAAATTTAAATCCGAAAATTGTTGGTGCCAACATACTGATGAATAATTCGTTGAAAGCACCAAAATTTAGCTGAAAATGAAAAAAAACAAAAACTATTTCAAATACTTTTTATTGAGTACCAAATCGACTCTAGTTTCTTAATTTCAGGTGATTTTTTGAATATACCTATGGTAAAATAATGAATGAGAAAATTTTTCAAAATTGAAGAATACTTGTAAAAAATATTGTTCTTCGTTTTCTTGTACATTCTTTTAAAATAACTGAAGATGCAAAAACGCCTTCAAGAATATTCCAGATGCCGATTGGAAAAATATAATGTCTTCAAAACGACACACACAAATAAATGAGGAAACATCGAAAACTCCGAATGAATATTAAAAATTTCAAAAATACAGAAAGATAAATGGAGATAGGGAAGTAAATAAGAAACAAAAAAGATAGCAAACTCTGGCAGTTAGGCTGATTATTGAAGATATTACATTACTGTATCCATTAGGCGAAAGTTTTCAATATTCGCCAAATTACCCTTTAGGTCAACCGAAATGATAAACGACGATAGTAAACGAAAAGAGGAAAATATGGGTGAATAAACTTAAAATCTCAAATCGAACAATATATTTTATGAGTAAATTGAAAAAAATAAAGGTATATCTAGTACTAGATCCCAGAACCGTCAGACCTTCGTCAAATCAGCAAAGTTGATATATGAATAAATTAAAAGGACACCTTACCTTAAGCCTTTCCAAATTGGATTGCAGACTGGTTCTCTCCAAATCTTTATCGCTCAACAAGTCAACAGTATTACTAGTACCATCGATCCATTCATGTCCATCTAACACAGCTTTGCTGTATTCCTGGTGATTACTAACGATCGTCTCGTATCGTTCAACGAAATTCTGCGCCCTTCTCAGAAGTTTATCATACTGATCCGTTATATTTGCTAACTGAACGTTGATCTGGCTGTTACTCTCAGGCAAGCTCTCCACCTTATCTTTCAAATCCCTGAGATCTTGCTGGTGACCTACGATGTCGCTCAACAAAACCCTGTAGGCTTGAAGCTGGTCTTTTTTCTCGTCCAGGGAAGCTTTCAATTCTATCTCCATCGGGAGTTTCTTCTCGGCTTCCCTGAGCCATTCTACTATTTTTGCTAGGCTTTCGTCGAATCCTGACCATCGAATCTGCTTAGCCTTGAGGTTGCGCTCGGTTTCATGAATTTCGTCGAACAGAGATTCTAGACCCTTGCGGAGCTCTTGAAGTTGAAGGCTTCTCTTCCTTGCGAGGCTCCTGCTGTCTTCTAGCCAAAATCTTTTCTACCATCGCTTTGGAGTAGCCATTCCGTTAAAGATCATTTTTGATGATATCGAATTCCTTCTCGAGACCTTCCTTCGTATTACAGAGCCCAAAAGCACGGTCTAATAGAGTCTTGATGATTCCTCTTTTAGTCGATCGATGGTGGTTGGATTCGTGGTTCAGATACTGTCCCGTATGAGTTCTGTGGGCCTATACTCACCCTCCCACCCTATACTGTGAGCCTATACTCTACAGATACAGATAAGTGTTTTATTGCATTATTTTCCGATAGAATGATATTAAAATTGATCAATAATTGATATACTTCGGACATTCTGTAATTGTGTAAATTTCAATCTACCAAGAGAATGGACTTCACATTTACTGACCCTCGAGACAGACCAAATATACGTAGGCCTAATGCACAGATAAATGCACCCTTTAATTATAAAATATAAAAATATAATCAACTTACTGATGACTTGATAGTGCGTCGTAGTGTGATTTTGCTTTCTTCGCAGCAGTCTGCTCACTTTTACTTTCTCAATTATCACTGTCAGATATATCACTGTCAGGTTATGTATACGGTAGTAACCACAACTGTATTAACTATAGGTATCCGAGCTCAGTGTGTCAAGAGAGCTAGCGTAACGCCGAACCAAAGGGGAAAAAGTCGCACAGTCGCTTGCGCATAGCCACCCGTCGCCACGCCAGCAATCTGTATCACGTGCGGCTATAGATGTTTCACATCGATATTTTACAGTATTTCGATTTCTCATCCATGTCAGTCATTGGTTTTCTCGTGTGTTTTCCCAGGTGTTTTGTCCAAATTTCCTACATATTGACTGATTTCCAAATCAGGCCCAATAACAAGCATTTTGGTACCCTCGCAACTGAACCACGAAAATGACCTTGAGCACTTTCGTTACTTGTACTTCTCCAAAATGATTCAATCCATTTGTATTCGTCAGTTTCCCCAGTTTTTTAAAGAATCATCATATTGTTCTCCAGCAAAAATTGATAATATCTCCGGTATGCCTGATTCAATTAGTTAAGTTGTGCTGGCAGGTGATACATTAAAAGATGCTCCTCATAAAAAGTAACAAAAATTCAAATCGGATGTTCAAATATAAAAAACAAACAGCAATTCAAAAATCATTCATAATGTCGCTGTTTAAGGAAATAGACTATAGTGTAAGATATTTTTCAGTGTTTGACAAAGAACTTCGCAGTTAGCCCACCAAAATCATACATTACGAAAAAAACATAGAACCCAGAAAAGTATAGGGCTTCCATTTCGTGAAGAAACTATTTTTCGAGTTTGAAAGCCGTAGATTCTTGAAATTTTTTCCTGACGTTTCGCTGGCGCGATTGACTAGCTTCTTCAGACGTTTATACATCCTGAGTTATCTCCGATGGCTGGATATTACGGTTGCGTGAAGCGTATTAATGCTGCCTCAGCTAGTTTGGTGTACTGACAACTTGTACCTGAATTAGGTGAATTGTCAATAACATTCTGAGACTCTTTCCTACCAGCCGTCATGCTGTTTGCTTGAACTTGAACTTCTTCTCGATCTCGGGTACACTGTATTCATTCGATTTCAAGGTCACTCAAAGACGTTCCAATTCTTCCTCGAAATGCTCTGGTTCACATATTATTCGAAACCATACAGTCAGAGTAGAGATGACTCCGTTGGTCCTGTTCTGTCTTCATGGTGAACTTGATGCTGAGGTGTTGAACTTTGAAGTGGTGTAGGAAACGGTTCTATCTAGATGCTCACAGAGGTTACCCCTTCATTGAAAGAAACTTCCCGTGGGACATGCTCTGGAGAGTTCAACTACATCACTCGGAAACAAGTAGGCTAGCCCTCGCCTTCTAGTAGGATTTCGGTGGAACGAAGACACAACATTGGAGCTGACCAAAATATCTGTCGGCTCCAGAGTCAAGTCCCTAATTCCACCAACGAAATATGGACAAGTATTAGCACACCAAACTATCTGAGGCAAATTTTTGAAATGATTTTGGATAGAGCTCACAAATCTGAATCAGTTTAACATATATTTTCTCAGGGTAAACATTTTCCATCAATTTAGCAACTACTATAGAGCCTTCAAATATGGATCAGTTGAAAATGAAATCGATAGTAACCGAGTTTCAAATGAAAATTAGCTTCATCATCAACGAAATGGTATCTAACCATACTGCATATTGCAATCTTTTGGAAAGATGGTCATATAACTATTACAAAAATTTCCGAATTGGATGAAAATGAGGTAGAGTGGACTCTAGGATCTCCAGATATTATCCCCATAGTTTTTTTCTCATTGAGTCATCAAAAATTTGAATTTTGTAAAACACTAGCTGCCTCGATTGAAAAACTTCATAATTTTTCGGAAAATATGTGTATCTTATCTAGCCAAAAGATTTTCTGATTGATTCGGCCGTTACTTGATGAAGATCCATAGTAATTTCATAAGCTACACCTCACGATTTGATCTTCACAAACTTTATTTGAAGAATCATATCACGATATGTTTCGCTAACACAATATCTTCTTCAACAGTGATTTTAATCACAGTAAAACAGTTTTGTACAAAACTTTTTACTAGAACATAACTACACAAAATTGAGTTTCATTATAAATTGAGTTTTGAGCTCTCAAATGATTCATTCCATAAAGGAATTGCCATTTTAGTTTTCAAAAAGCCAGTTTGGTTTGATTTTTTGATTATTGATTTCGTTGATTTATCAATATGCTTTATTATTATTATAATTTCAATCGATTCCAATTTCGAAAAATCAAATTCACTCGAGAAAATTTTCAAAAAATCAAAAAATTCTTCGAAATTTCAAAAACTACATCTCCACGATTTGATCTCCATAAACTTCATTTGAAAAATATATCACAAAATGTTTCGCTGAGAAATTAACTCGTGGAGGTGTAGTTTTTGAAATTACTATGGATCTTCATCAAGTAACGTCCGAATCAATCAGAAAATCTTTCGAACTCCATAGAAAATATTTTGCATATTCTCCTGAGAACTATTTGGAATAGTATCCTTTATTTTGTACAGTGTGATCAAACCCTAGTCAGCGACAAATCTAATTTCAGCAAACGGGGCATGCATAACAGCAAGAAGCATCATTACTGCAGTAATGAAAACCTTTTGCAAAATATATATCTTGTAATCCACAGGTAAATGTATGATGCGGTCTTATTGGGTCGTCGAACTTGTTTTTTATGATGATTTTTTACAGGTGAGCGTTATCTGGAGTTCCTTAGAACCAAATTGAAAGATTTTTTGATAATCTCAACTCAACTGATCTCCAAAAAGTGAATGGTCAACAAAAGAGTGTGGCAAAATACCTAAAACGTCAACAATGTTTCAATTTACCTCTTCAATAAACGTTTCATCGATACTAGAGGACCAGTTCGTTGGCCTCCTTATTCTCCTGACATTACACCCATGGATTTTCATTCTTGTTTTTTTAAACGAAGCGTATGAAAATCGCTACCATGGGATCGATTATCTCCAGATAGCGATAACAAATACCATACGTAGCATCGATGGTTGTATCGTTTGAAATCCACAAGAAAGGTTAGAAACTGTCCAGCAATGTATCGAACAACAAAGAAATGTATTCAAACGAATGATTCAATTTTTCACAATGTAAAGACAATAGTATTGCAACCAATATGTACCTATTGTTTTGTTTCAATTTTAAATTTCAAAAGGAGCACAACTTCGTTATTGTTGGTTTTAGGATAGAATTCAAAATGACTTTCAAGATTCATAAAAGAATTGTCAACCGTTANCCTAGACACGTGTTTCATCACCAAGTGGTCGTCTTCAAGAGGATTATTGAACTTCAGTTTGATCTTTCTTTTGGAGGTGATCACTTGGTGATTGAAACACGTGTCGAGGTGTTAAAAATAAAGATTTGGTATTGGGATTGAACTCCAGTAATATTCGATATGTATTAATTTGCTTAAATTTTGAATTTCATAGCAAATTTGAAAAAAAGTGAGAAAGGCGTATAACTGCGTAATTTTTTGTTTCAATAAAAAAATCGTACTAACCTTTTGAGTTCAAAAGAGTGACAATCGACTAAGGTAGAAATACATAACGTGCCAAATTAAAAAAAACATTACACATAAATCACCACTAGTTATCTGATTAAACTAAATTCGTATCGTTAACAATGGTACCGACTTGAGTTTGATCACACTGTATAGGTACATTTTCCGATCTTACCTAGCCTGTGCAACGCTGATCCAATCGGAACACTGTCGATATTTATCATTGAACAACTTGTGTTCCGCAACAGCTTGTTCGCATTTCTTCAGTATTTCCTTGGCGGTGGCTTGCACTGACTGGAACCTGGATATAATCTGTTGGACATTGATCGAGATTTTGGTGTCTCCACTGCTCTGTACCAGTTCTGCTGAATCATCAGACATCTTATCAAATTCGGCTTCGTTTTGACGCAAATTCAGGATCAGAGCCTAAAATCGAATAGTGTGATGTATTTTGGGTAGTTTATGAAAGTTTCGATAAGTAGTAGAAGAAAGGATAGATAAGGTCAGCCTGCTCCAGAAGTTGAATGCTTCTTCAACCCATTTCTTGAGTTCTCAACCAAATTCTTCAAATGGGCTAAAATTTGATAGAGGTTGGGATTTATTCACAGTTTATTGGAACTATCAACAATATTTGCTGATACGATTTGTTTTGGTTTTCACTCTAAAACGTTTTCAAAATCTCTTCCTGAAAAGAGCGGATGCAATCATTTCATTAACTAGTAAAAACAGGAGAACTAAGGTGACAAAAATAAGTACTCCTTCTCTGATGAAGATTATGTGAAAAAACAAGTCAATAAATTGATGAATATTACATTGATTGATCATTCTTGGCTGACAAAGCAAGATTATCTGATAAGAACATTTCAAGTAACGTGGATTTATTCAACTCGATTCGATCATTCAGAAGATACTTGGAATTTTTGTATATATTAACTTCCATAGCTTCCAGAAGGTCAAGTCTCAAACTTTTCTTCTGACAATGCAGAATTTTGAGTTGATAACTGAACTCATGTCCATCTGTAAGAAGAGGAGCATTCGTTGAATTGATTTTTCCATTCTGGAAACTGCTTCTATGTTCTTTCATGCGTGCTTTAAATGTTTTCTTGTTTGACCTATGTAAAAACTGGAAAATAAATCACAAGATAATTTATACAGTCCTGATCTATCTGATACCAAACTCTTGTCTTTGTTTTTTCAATTTTTAATAAAGTTTGCTGTCAAATATATCAGAAGTGAGTAAATTGTTCTGTAGTTTTCATGTCCGATGGTTTACTTAGATCAAACTGAAAGAACATACAAAGCATGCATTGAGTAGCATGCGTTGAAAATGAATTCAACGCATGCTACTCAACTCCTTACAGAGGAACATGAGTTCAATCATGAATTCAAAAGTCTGCATTTCCAGTTGGAAAATTATTCTCCTGGAATGTATGGAAATCAATAAGTACAAAAACTCCTTAATAAATGATGAAATCGAGTTGAATAGCTCCCCATCACATAATATGTTCTTATCAGATAATTGAGCTTTGAAAACCTGGAATGATTAATATGTAATGTTCATTAATTTACTAACCAGTTTTTCACATAATTTTCACTACTGATTTTTACTTTTTGATCTATATTTACCTGCTTCACTAGTTAATGAAACGATTGTATCTGTTCTTTTCTGGAAGCTAAAACTAGATTAAAATGAAATATCTAATCGGATCCTAGATCATTGTAATGTTTAACGAATATGAAATGTTTAAATCTGAAAGGAGTTAATCAAACCTTGCCTAAGGGAGCTATTGTATATCGGAAAACGTTTCGTGGTTTTGTAAACCTGTTATGGTGAAAATAAAAATGAATCTTATGAGTAAGTATCCTTCAATTGTTAACAATATGTTATAATATTGAACATCTCTTAATCCAAACGAATTTTAACTGATGTGAAAAACAGAATTTATAGGTATATATTTGATTATTTGTGATTTACGAAGTGATCTTAGTTTTAATCCCTTTCATTCATATTCGGAACATAATAACTTCAAAATATTTTACATACATTTTATAAATTTCATCAAATTATTATAGATTCGTCATTTGCTTGACAAAATTTCAAACATTAAGGGTTTCCACAGTTTCTACTGATAAAACTTGATGTACTCAGGATATAATTTAAAAAAAAAACAAGTATAGTCCGAGTGAAAACAAATTTATCAAAAAAAAAATAAATGAAAAGAGAACAATGGCTTGGGAAAAATTTCAATTTGGGAGAATTTCTGTATTATATGGATTGAAATGGCAGGTGCAAGAAACCTAATTTATTGCTTTCAGTGAAAAAGAGTTAATTCGACCTTTTTTGGGTATTCCTAACCTTCCACAATCTTTACGTTTCGGAAGCTAAAATCTGTCGAATTAGTTAAGAAATAAATAATCAAAAGGAATAACTGCAAATATCTTGGAACTTTTTTGTCCATTTCTGAAGACGGAGGCTGATTTTGGCTTTCGAAACGTAAAGATTGTGGAAGGTAAAAAATACCCAAAAAACGTTGATAAAAAACTGATTTTCCTCTTTGAAAAATGACTTTCGTTGAATAGTTCTGATCTTCAATCAATGAATCACTACATCAGCATTGAACAATTCAAAAAAAAAGAAAACCATCACGTATTTTTCCCTTCAAACTTTGCGCATTTCTTCGCCCGACGAAAAATTTGATTATCACAGTCTAGTTGAAGCTTCAAATTCAACAGCGAACAACATAGTCATTCAACCAAATCCTCCAATAATTCAACAATATAATAAAAAAATAAAAATGAATTTTAGAAAATAATCTACCTATTTAAAGGGTTACTAAATAATTTCAAAAGAAAGTAAAATGAAATTCATCAATTTTTATTAGGTAATTTTAAAATTATTTCAGTGTCACTGTCATATTAGTAAAGTGGTCATTTGAAATAGCTTTTAAACGACTTGAAAAAAATTGTTTCCTGCGGTACTGAAAAGTAACCACTCATATATTATTATATTTCTAACAACGTAATTTCAGTTATTCACAAAATAATAACAGAAACTCTTTTCGAATTCTCGTCTCACAGTTTTTTATAGAATAGTCACTGTGCATTGAGAACATGAAAAGGACTTTGATAGTACTTATAAGTTTTTGGAGTTTTTTCAATAATAATACTGTCGAAACGAATTCATCAGGTTTCTTGCTTCGCCAGGTTTTACTTTCAATCTAATCCCACTAGTTTGTTTCAAATATATAATTCATTCATTTATTTATTGTCTTCGTTCTCACATAAATTTCAGCCCATTCTGAAAAACTAGGTTTTCAAGACTTACAACATCCGTTGGTTGGGCTGCAGAGCATTATAAACGTTAACATGAAAACCAATCACCAGGCAGAAAAATAAGCTTTGAAGGTTGTGAAAAGAAAGTTTTGTAAGCCTACTGAAGTTGTATGACTAAAGTCTCAATCAAAACATCTTTTCACAACCTGTCGACAGATAGCACAAAAGAGGTGTAGAAATTGAAGATCTGTGCCATATAGGAATTATTATGGACTCTTACTTGCTCCAAATGATCTGTAATAGAAACGAACTCCTTCATATCTACTTTTCGCGATTCAACCACTCTAGCTAGTTCCTATAGATTAACATAGTTAATAAAAATACTGGGCACAATTCAATATGATGAATGAAAATTACCTGATATTTTTCCAGCTGCTCTTGCTTTTCTTCGACAGTGGATTTCGAAGAGTAGTTCTTCAAGGATGTTTCCGCTTCAGCTAGCCAAGACAGCAGCCTATCTAACGTAGTCTCGTAGTCATTCCATTGTTTAAGGCGACTTTCCAGAGCCGATCTGATGTCCATTAAGGTCGAAACGAATTTCTCCTGATCAAACTTCAAACTGTCGACATCTCTCTGCATGTTTTCCTGTGCACGGGCAGGGAGTGCAGATATTTTGTGTTCTACGTGGTTTTGCAAGTCACGTAATTTGATTGTATTTTCCGGCAAGCTGTCTTGTATGGCAATGATGTTATCCAACCTCCTTTCAAGTATTTGCTTATTTCCTCTATAGTCAAGGTAGTTGTTGAGCTTGTCCCACAACTGCTTCTGGTCGTCTTGTTGGGCCTTGTGCAAGTCGTAGAATTGTTGATAAATCTCCAAGCAATCTTCCAGCTGCTTGATGTTGCTTTGAGCTACTTTGTTCAAATTCTGGTAACGTTCATTTAGCGATTTTATATTATCTTCGATCTCTTGTTTTTTATCTTTATTGATTGTCAACTGCGATAGTATCTGACCTTTCTCTGTCACTCCTGTGAAATAAAAAAGTCGATTAAAAAATTCAACTGTATATTTGAGAAATCAACAAACCTTCAATGGATCTCTTGTGAGTAAGAATTTCTTGATAGGTTGTTTTGTGTTTCAAAAGTTTTCCGCGAACTTCTTGAATGGAGGTCCAGGAAGATGGTTCGATTTTAACTTGTTTCTCCATTGCATCCAACCATGCTAGAGCTTGTTGCAACATGTCTTGGTAATTTGACAGCTGCAAACTCTGAGCATCCTGAAGCTTCTGTTGTTCTCTAACGCCTGTTATTAGGTAAACAATATCTTAGACATATATATAGTAGGATTATTCTCATCAAAATTAGTATCGATTTACAAAACATTATTTGAAACTATTATGAAAATGTGAAGGACTAGAAGCAACCACAAAGTTTGAATTCAAATCTTCACAACCACCATTCCGTATTAAGTAATCACTTACCTTCAACTAGTTTGTCCCATCTTTCTCTGATGTTTCTGACTTCATTCCTTACAAGTTCTCTCCCTTCTGTAGCAGTGTCAGGCAGAAGTCTTTCGCCAAGGATCGTAAGCGAATTGACTTTATGCTCCCCTTGTTCCTTTTCGGACAACAATAACTGTAATCTATTATTTGCCTCTGCGTTGTCGGTCAATTCACCATCCTTCACCGCACCCAAGTGATCTTCAAGCGGTGCCAACCAAGCCAAAATCTCGTCAACCTTCTGTTTGTACTTCTTGTGGTCATCCACGATACTCTGCCAACGACCGATCACGTCTTTCGTGAGAGTGTGCAAATTTTGGAACCTGTTGCTGATCTGTGACACCACAGGCTTTATCCTTAGAGAGCCACTGTTTTGTAAGAGCATATGGCTCTTATCTACAAAGGCATCTACATCTTTTTCTTTGTCCGAAACTTCTTCGCGTTGTTTTTGCAGTATTTCCAACTTATCTTCCTTCTCTGGTAGAGTCGCCTTCAAAGATTGATCTCTGAATTGAGCCTCGGTTGTTTTGAACCACTGATTAAGCGAATCCAATTCACTTTCGAATTCCTCCCATTTCTTAACAGCCTCAGCTTGACTGGTCAGAGAAGAGCTAACGTTAGTCAAATGTTGGTCTAATAGGCCACGAATTTCTTGAAGTTCTTTCTTCAACGCCTCCACTCCTTTAGGCGCTGTGCTTTTAGCGACACTTATCAACTTCTGTTTAATTTCTTCCAGCATTTCGAGACCTTTTGTCTCACTGAAATTTTTGATGGAGGAAATATTTGATATTCTTTTATTTATTTCACTTTTCTCGCCGGTAGTATCATCAAACTCACGAAGTTTATCGTTTTGTTCAGAGATCCATTGTTTAAACGACGAAATTTGTTTATTGTAATCGGTATGTTTATCGACGCAGTCGTCTAAATTTTTCAATAACTCCTCCGATTTACTGACGATGCTGAGAAACAGCTGCTTTATCGATTGCAAATAAATGTTCAGCGATTTATCCTGGGTTTGATCCACTAACTGTTGAGCCTTGTCACAGACAGATTCTACTAATTGTTGGTGTGACATAATCTCTTGATGCATTATTCTGTGATTTTGCAGTTGTGCTCTCTTCTCTTGGAGCGTAGATTTCAATTCTGTGTGTTGATGCATGGCTTTCTCAACGTCCCGTAGCCACTTCGTCAACTGCTCTTGGGTAGCTGTGAAGTCTGAGAACTGAGTCAAACACTGCTCCAGTTTGTAAATAGCATTCTGCAGGTCTTCTCCAAATGTGTCCCAAATTGTTCTGATATTTCTCAACTGTTGTCTGATGATCTCACGACCATCTGGTGATGTATGCGCGTATAATTTTTCACCTTTCTCCAGAAGGTTTTCAAACTCATCGATTCTCTGATTTCTCTCATCGGCAAGATCTTTGATTTCTTGTTGTCTACTTTGCAACACGTTAAGATCTCCTACGATCTGACACAAATCCTGGAGCTCTTTCTCCTTATCTGATAACCAAACTAAGAATTCATTATATTCGGCATTGAATTCATGATGTTCTTTGACGAAACTGTCGTATCTATTAATATTATCTTTGACCGTTCCCTTTAGACTTTGATATCTAGTAGTGATTTGCGACACTTTTGAGTTGGATTTCAAGGCTGTGGCCATCTCGACAAACTTGTTGAATTCCGGTTCTTTATTCAAAATTTCTTTTTCCATTGCTTTCAGTTTCTCAAGATGGATCTTCTTTGTTTCCTCCGTATTTTTCAAACTCTGATCCTTCACTAGGTTTTCTTTCTGCTTCAACCATGACTCAAGACCTTCCATGATGATAGATACTTCCGTATACTGATTATGTATCGCATTCAACTTTTCTTGTGCGTTTTGACACAGTTCCAAAAAGAGGTTCCAAGACTGTTCTTGTTCCTGGAAACTATTTATAAGAGAAGGATGGCCACTGGGAGCAGTCTGAACCAAAACAGTCTCCATTTGTTTCTTGCAAGAAGATATAATTTTATCTCCTTCATTTTTCTGAGACAGTAGATTTTCCACAATTGTTAGTTTGGATTCTGGTGTCTCCGAAGACGATTCATCGACGAGCAGAGCAGCTTCAGCAGTCAAGGCACTCAACCAGTCATGACACTTTTCTATAGCCTGATTATACGCTTCATGGTTACTAACAAACTCTTCAGAAATGTCTATTCTATTTTGAACCTCCTGAGCAAGGTTGTTGTATTTATCTAAGTTCTCGTCTAACTTAGACTCTGCATCTGGATCGCCCAGATTTCCGATTTTATCTTGCAACTGTTTCAAAATATTTTTATGTAGATTGACATCCTGTGACAGAACTTTGTAGTTATGTAGGGACTGTTTCTTATCCAGAAGAGTAGCATCTAACTTAATTTCGTCACCTAACTTAATTTCTGCTTCGTCGATCCACAACTTCACTTGGTAGAGACTGTCATCGAAGGAGTGTCTTTGCATAAGCGTTGCTTCGACTTGCTTGTAAATCGCATTGACTTTATCGATCAAAACTTCGGACGTAGCCCGCAAATTTCTGAGCTCTGCTCTGATCGAGTCTCTGTTTTCAGGTGTTACTCCGGGGAAAATAGCTTCGCCATGTTCTACTGCTCTCGTTAGTAGTGCTTGACCGTTTTCTTTCTCACCCGCGAAGCTTTTCAGCTCTTCCAATGTAGCCTGATTGGGCTTCCTGGCAATTTTCGAGAAAGATTTAACTTTCTCTTCCGCTTGAACTAACCAATTTTCGACATCTTGGATACAGTTTCTATAAGTTGTTTTGTAATTATTGAGTTCGTTGAGTTTCTCTAAATAGTGGATCAAAAATTTTGTAACTGCTTGATAACGATTGTTGAGATGCTGAACATACTGGGTGACGCGAGTTTCCGGAACTTGTTTCATTAGTTCTTCACTTATGGGTGTCAACTTCAGTATTTCATTTCCATAGTTTTTCACATCTTGGTATAACTTTGAGATATCTTTGATTTTACTATCGATGTTATTCAGATCCATCTGCAAACTGCTCTCAGATTTAACTCGGTTTTCCGTTTCTTTGAGCCAATTGGTAACGCTCTCTGAAAGGCTCTCATACTTGTCGTGTAAAGCTACATTATCTTCCAGAATCTTTTTCGTATTCGCGTATTCGCGATTCAGATTGTCCAGGTCAAGTAACAAATGATCTTTTTCAGCTTTGAGTAGTTTAATCGAATCAGGGGTTTCAATCTGTTCCAGAACTTGGATAGAGTTTTCTAGTTCCGATTTGCGGCTTTCGCAGTCTACTAGAGCGGAGGATATTGGCTCTAATGCATTCAACTTTACTTGTAAGTTATATTTATCGCTAGCAGATTCGGGTAAGCACCACTCAATTTTTTCTCTTTGAGTTGCTATGATTCTCTGCAAGGCACCGAACTTTTCGTTATGGAACTTCTTGAGGAAAGCTAATAAAGAATTCTCGATTTTTGTAGAATGAGAAACTATTGTATCATAGCGCTTCTTCAAAAGTTGCTGTTCTTTAGAGATGGGGCTCTCTCCAAAGCTAGGATAGTTCTTTTTCATTTGCTGAATGTCACTTTCGATTTTCTTTATACCTCCTTCACATCCTAGCAATTCTTGCTTCAGCTGTCTCATTTTCACTAGTCTCTCAGCAATTTTGTTATTGTCTCCGGACAAATCTTCGCACTTGATTATATCTTCTCTGAGACTAGCAATTTTCGTACTCACATCCTTCATGTCACCTCGGATGGTTTTTTCATTATCTTCGAAAGTGGAGGTAAGTTGCTCGAGTTTTTGAGCGTTTTCCTCTAACTCACAAAACTGATCTTCGAGTAGTTTAGCTAACGACTGCACCGTTGGAATATCCTTATCGCCTGTCAGTTTGACGAGTTGTGAATACTTATGGGGAATGCTCTGATTCAGTCGCTGATGTGCTGGAAGCTCTTCACGGTATTTCGCCAACTTGGATGCTGCAATTTCCAGTGCGTGAGGAGTCTCAGCTGCTTTTATCAAGGCGTCATTTTGTTCACCAAGCCATTGGAGGAGGGTTGACTTGGTGTCCTCGATATGCTTCCAAATTGCGGCTTGTGACTCAGTGGTTTGCACCGTCTTCAGTATCCTCTCGTATATTTTAGACCAAACGTCGTTAATTATTTGGAGGTCTCTTCGCACTTCAGTTTCTATTCCTGGTATGTTGGATGCTTTTTTGATGACCGACTGGCCCTTGGAATCAGCCTTATCCAAAACCGCTCTGGATTTTTTCATTGCATCCATAGCTTTTCTAGCTTTTTCACTATTGACATTCGCTTGGATTAGATCGTTTGGTACTTCCAGATTCTCGATACTCTTGTCGATTTTTCCTATGTCTTTGACCACGCGATCTTTGGCAGCTTGAAACTCGTTCCAAGAAAATATAATATCTGACAACTTCAAATTTTCGTCCCTGATATCTTCGTTGATTTTGCTCCAGCTATTTTCAATGTCTGTCACAGAGTTTTGAATAGTGGAAACATTCTGGATGTCTTCTTTCATCAACTGTAAGGCTTGGTTGTGTAAGTCTTCTTTGTTCTTAGATTTTATTATTTGGTTTTCTTGGAGCTTGTTGAGCTGCTCAACGGCTTTTGGCAGATCACTGGAGTGTTTGACTTCATTTTTAATAGCTGCTAACTCTAACTTGGTTTGATTTATGTCCGAAGTGATTTTTTGTTGTAGGGCATTGAATTGGTTCCAATGGAGTTTGAGCTTCTCTAATCCACCCACTTTTCTAGAAAGTTGTTCCTTCAAGTTGATGGCATCGATTTCAATTTCTCTTACAACATTATCCGCTGTTCTAGGCAAACTTGTCTTTTTATCCAATATCATTACACTTTGGTTCTTGTCTATCTCTTTGGCCGCTTGTTTCCAAGTGATGACTTTATCAATAATTGTATCCGTTTCTTTGATGAGCTTTTGAAGATCATCAGACGTGACGTTCTCTGCATCGCATTGATATTTAATATGCGTGAGTTGATTCGAAGTGTCTACGTGCCAGTTCAACAACTCACTCCAACGTTGCAGCTGCAGTTTCTTTTCTAGCAGATTATGTTCAACATTCTGATTTTGCGATACCAATGTCGAGTACCCTTCTGACAATGGTTCCAGAGATTTTTGAGGCGACTGAATTGTTATGTCTTTGATTTCACTGTAAATGGTATTGAACAATGGTTGTTTTTCAGAGTACTCCTGGAGCAAGGAGTGAACATTCAAAAGAGCAGAGTCTACTTGGTTGGCTGGTATTTCATCTATCTGATCCACTTTAGATTTCACTGAATCTAACCAATTGGAGTAGTCTGCGACCTTTGCTTGAAAATCTTGTTTCACTAATATTGCATCTGACACTCTGTTTATTTTGGCTCGAACGCTTTCTGCCAAATGACTTATCTTGGATTTTAACGCCTGCGTCTGTTCCTTCATCAAAGTCGCACCTTCAGGACTCACATTATAACTGATGCTGTCTGAGCTTTGTGTCAACGCGATCAACTTAGCTTGTTGCTCGGATATTTCGTTATTTAGCGCCTTGAGTTTTGCCAGCTCCTTTTCCAGCGAGTCTACATTAGGGGTGTTGATGTTTATTGGACGGGTTGCCAAAATTTCATTGGTCTTGGTGACCCACTGCTCCAAATGCTGCAGATTTACATCAAATTCAAGCCAGTTGGTAACTAACTTGTCAGCTTTTTGGCTCCACTGGTTGGTTGTTTCGTGCACAACAGAACACCTTACCTGCATCGAGTCAACTTCATCGGGGGCATTGGTTTTTGTAGATAATTTTTGTGTCAAGTTTGCAACGCCCTGCAGCTTCTGCAACCTCTGATCTACCTCTTTACCAAACTGTTTGGTTTGATTCTGAATTTGCACTGCTTCTTCCAAAGTTGCTGGTTTCGGAAGTCCTAGCTGGATTTTCACTTCCGCTTCCTCAATCCAAGGAGTGATTTCTTGTAAACTAGCCTGATAAGCCTCCCAGTTCTTCAAGTCCCTTGATAATATTGCTGTTTGGCTCTCGACGCTTTTGTTCAGAGCGGTGACTTGATCCTGAATTGCCACCATTTCCGCTTTGAGTTTTAGAGCATCTGAAGATTCGTCTGTGAGGAGTTGTTGGGCTTCTCTGTTTAACTCATCCAGCTGATTCATCTTCTGGATAACCTCCGATTGGAGTTGCTCAACTTTTACAACCCGTTCTTTCGGTGACTCGACTATTTCATCAACAGCTGAAAGTAATTGAGGAGCTTCATGGGCGGTCCACTTCTGTAGATGCCCCAGAGTGTTATGTAGAGAATTCCATTTGGTGTTGTATTGTTCCAACATAACCACTCGCTCGGTGACGTTTGTCAAGGTCGTGTTGAGACGCTGTTCGATCTGTTGTACCTCTTGGTCCAATTTTGGTTTCTGATCTGGTGCTTGTTTACTTAGTTTAACACATAAGTCTCTCAGATTCCTTAGCATGTCTTCAGTTGCTTCTCTCAAATGAATGGCCATTTCCTGTTTAGCCATAAGTTCCGAGGGTATGGTGCTAGAGGAAACATTAGGTTTCAGGCTTTTGAGATCTTCCTCCGCCTTACGTAATAGGTCAACAATTTCTTGTTTCTGTTCGCTATAGTTAGTCCACAAGTATTGCGTCTCAATTAACTTGTGGAGAGTTTCAATGGTTTCATCGTATGTTTCCGTCCATCCGGTTTCGAGTGATTTTACTTCCTCTTTTATGAAGCTAGGAGCATTTGCGTCCCTACTGAGTTCTTTGCCCTTCTGCAGGAGTGACATAACGTTTGGCCTTTGTACATCCAATTGCGAAATGGCAGTTTCCTGTTGGCGTATCGATTGGTTGACAATTTCCAGCGATGTTGGTTGACTAACTGTTTTTGACTGCTCACGTACTTGTTTGAGCAATTGGCAAATTTCTCGTACTTCACGTCTGTAGGTATAACATTTCGATATGGTGTCTGTTTTCACCATGGTGATCTCGAGAGAAGGTATGAGATTCTTGTAACGAATGATTAGGGCTTCTAGGTTCTTTTGTTCTTGTAGGGCTTCGGTTTCCGGACAGTGAGACGTTAGAGAATCTAATGTTTGAACCAACCATTTCATGTCGTCCCGTTTTGAGTCGGCTTCTTTACAGATGTTCTAGAGAAAATCATTCGAATTAGTGAAACATTTGAATAAACTTTAGGATTCACAGTTGTTAGCGTTAAAAATATTTTTAGCTCAATGGAATTGTGATTTCTGTGCTCTGAACTACCATACATTCGTAAAATTAATTACTTTTGAGATTTTCATGTGTTCCTTTCATTAAAATTAATTGCTGAAACAACTCTCATTATTTTGTTTCATCTAATATTGGCGCTTTGAATACAGAATGAAAACGTAAGTTATGAAGGAAATCAGGTTATATGAGCATAAAAAACATAACTTGACCGAAATGAAATTACATTGCAGTTTCCACTACACTGCAGTGTAGGCTGTTGATCCATACAATCATGAAGATACCCCTCTTCACTGCTATTGTTTTAGTTATGTAATTCTGTATCATCAAATCGAATGAAAGACACTGTTCTGGAAGAACATTATAACAGGGAGCCGAAACATACTTTCGAAATGAAACCTGAGGAAAGAATGATTACAGAAGGTTTTCCTAATTACATTGTAGTGCAAATTGTTGAATACTTCATTTTCACTTCCTGAAAGTGAAAGGAAAATTAACCACAGAAAACTATATATGAAAGTAATATGTTATTCCAATAATAACCATACAGTCAGGAATCACACGTTAAAAGGTAAGACCTCGTTAATCCTTAGCTCGCACAAGTTTCGACTTTTGAGGGTTGTCGTTCGTAGGGGTGCGACAGCTGGTTAACGGAAAAACAGATTTTAAACAGATTTTATTGGAAAGATTGGGCGATCTCATTAGGCACACTTAATTTTTTAATTTTGGGAATTAATTTTTTGAGTACTTGAAAAAAAGATAAAATAGACTCAGAAAGCTGGTACCATCTTGATTCTGAAGATCTCATGATACAACAGCAATGAAACAAAAATGCAATTATTAGATAACAAACGCAAATTCACGTTTGTCAATAAAGCTGTGAAATCACCAAAACCATATGTGGGAAGAGAAAATTTGCCTGTTGATGAAAACTACAAACTGAAGAACAAATGTAAGAGCTCATTCCATCACCTCTGAGATTTTGATAGATGATGAAAATATGAATGAAAAAGAACTCTTGTCCATAGTCAAATAAAGCTCATTTCAAGGAATATGGAGACACGATTTGCAAACTTAATCCCATTGAACTCATTTGGGCTCAAGTAAAGGATTCAGACTTCAAACGAAGTTACATCGGAACCATATAATGATAACACACCGTAATTTTTGCTTATACCTAATATCTCCCTAAATAAGCATACCTCATGAAATATTTTGTTTGTGACCCGTTTGCAATACAAAAATAGGGTGGATCCGATAAGGTATTATGAAACCTACTATATCTTCTGTGGCAAATCACAAAATTTTGTTTGCGCACTCTGTTAGGGTTTTGCATTCAAAATGAACATTCATTTCTTTTTACTATTGAGAAACAAAGAGCAGACAATAATAGAACTCTTTTTTTCGAAATTTTAATCAGTATTTTCAATGCCATACTTATTCAAAATCATAGTACATTAAATAACCTCTTGAAAACATAATAATAATAGTTGTTTCATATACTTTACTATCAGTCAGTCTAAAATTGACGTTAATGGTTTCTGTCTGCTGAGCAAAGACTGGGAAAACCGAGAGTGTTTATGATGATGATGATTATTATTATTTTAATTTCCATAAAAAAAATAGAAATGAAACTGAGCAAAAAGTTTAAAATGAATTTAAAAAGATTTCAAACCAAGGTATTTCACGACATTTCGATTGTTAATATCCACAAACGTCTTCGGGAAAATAAGAATTTAATTAAATTCGAAACGTCGGTAAGAATACAATTGTTTTTTAAGTAAAAATTGATCCTGTTATCCAACCAACTCCTTTTTCAGAATAATACTAATGTTTCTATTTCTTTGAAATGATCATTTACTGATGATATATGAAACGTCAAGTGAGAAAAAATGATTGATCTATAATATGAAGTAAATAAATAACATAGAGATTACAGTTCACTGGGTGATTGTGACACTTTGAATTAGTTTCAAACTCAGACTCCTATTATTTGTGACACCATTTCGTAAATTTACGACTTATTCTGTTCAGTTTCGACTATAGTTCCGCAGGACTATCAGCTCCTTCTGAGACTCCAGTATCATCGGCAAAAAGTTTTATTGATGTACCTAGATGTTGAGGTGAATCATTGATATAAATCAGGAAAATCAGTGGTACCAAAACTGATCCGTTTGTCAATACCATTATAAATATGCTCCACAAAAGTTGCAGCCGTTCCTTCAGTCGACTTACCGGGGCAGTATCCATGTTGATATTTACTGATTATATTGTGTTTCACCAAAAAAAAAGAAATAATAATTTGTTACAGATACTTTTTTTAATTACCTCTGCCAACACACTGAGAATGGTTACTGTTCTATAATTATCTGGTCTATAATTAAGGGGGTTATTTTTCCTGTATAAGGGAATTATTTTTCCAATTTTTAGTGGGTCTAGACACGTTCCGTCCTCAACAGATTTACTGATTATGAATGCCAGTGGTTCACAGATGAATTCAGTTATATATTTAATTATTCTTGTAGTAAGGCAGTCCATTCCGGTGGAATTTTTATTCTTAATTTCAGTAATGACATTGAAGACCTCGGTTGGTGTAACAGGATTGAAATTAAAACTATGCATGTTAACGTTTGAATCCATTGTACCTGATAAAATTTCATTTTCGAATTGGTTTTGTGAAACATTTGCAATCATAGTTCCATGAGTCATCATCGAGTCATCATGCGAAGACGTTTGTGGGTACTAATAATCGAAACGTCGTGAAGAAACTTGGTTTGAAATCGTTTTTATTTTTAAATTTATTTTTGATGTTTTGCCCATTTTCATTTTTATTCTTGTTTATTTCTTTTTACTCTGTAATCATTTTCATTTTGTATCTTGATTATTTTATTCGTTTTATTGTATTTTCCTTTCTGGTTTTATTGCCATTCATTCTAACTTCATTTGTTCTTTCAAAAATTTCAAATCGTAGTAGAATCATATTAGACAATGGAAGTCCGAACTAATGAAATTCAACATGAAACATCATCAACCACTTTGAAACAAACGTAGAACAGAAAAAATTCGAAAAAGAACAGAAAATATGACGGTTATTTGAGAATATAAAAGGCTTTCATTGAAAACAATTTCATGGAAGCAGTAATTTTTTTGAGTACAAATAAAATATGAAGAATATTCATGTAGTTACAAAATCTCTCAATTAATTATGAAATAACAACAATGGAAAATACTACTTTCACACTATGAGAGAAATGCACTGAACTAGAACTCAAGATTATTCAATAAGGTCAAAAAATTCAGAAAGCAAAGGCAAACGTTGATCCGACATGTTTCCTCTTGTTACACAAAAAACTTCTAATAACCCAAAAGCATTAGCAGACACTGCATTTCAAAATAATAAGTTGTTCTGCGTATACAGAAATATGTTTCAAATGATTTAAGTATTGCCAAACTGTTGACTTAAAAAACAAATATTTTTTCCTCATTATAGTTGCCTATATAAAACGACTTCTATGATCATAAAGTATATACTGCATTCAAATGCATGAGCTAGAAGTTTACAGTAATCAAGTCAGTGAATTTTGTCGTAAACTTTTTGGTAATTTCGATTCCGGAGAGGGAGCCTGAAAATCAGCTACCAAGCTCAAGGAAGGCAGCAGGCGCGCAAAGGAGGGTTACAAATATGACAGCAGGTGCGTGTGTTGATGAGAAAAATGCTTTTTTCAAATGAAGAAATATATGTAAAGTGAGTTCGACTTATATCAACGAGGTTACGTACAGCGCCATCTGCCCGCGAATAGATCAAGAAATAATATCGATAATTATGTCCAATACAGATCCCGACCTTGAGAGTTACAAACAAACAAATAAACATAAATACATACATACAGGTGAAGCTAATAAAAGCGTGTTAGAAAAAGCTTTTTGGCTTTCTGCTTCTCCATCATTGAACAAAAAATGTGGGAAAGGAAGGAACAAAAATAATCACAATAAAAACTGTTTATAAAGCTATGTATTAGATGCACAAAAGTTTTTTCAGATACTAACTGGAAGAAAAACCCTTACAAAACAACTACTTTCGAATGAACATTGAATTACAAAAAGTTTTTGATATTTTTCATTTATTGATGGAGAAGTATAAAGCTTTTATTTTGCCAGAAAACTATTTCTCCTAAAAAGTTTTCCCTTTACATTTCGGATGTTTAGATTTGATCTCCACAAACTTCATTTGAAAAATATGTATCACAACATGTTTCGCTAAAGTAGCTTTATCAAGTGATTTGAAAAATAAATCACGGTAAAGTGCCATTAAATGATTTCTGTAATATTTTCCATTTCGTATATGAGAATGCATAATATGCATAATACTATAGATATCAATTATATGAAAATAACAATTTTTAGTGCGCAAGCATGACTACTTTGTGATTTTCTGTGATACTGTAATATAAACATCGTCTTTCGAGAAGAAAATGAAATCTAAAAAATGACTAGAATGATTTTTTCGTCATAATATGGGGAAAAGACAGTGAAAATGAATATATCAAACGTTCTAACATTCAGTGGTGAGATAAATATTACCATAAGCTGTTTCAACTGGACCACAGAGCAGCACATTGAAAAATAATCATTAACCATGAGCTGTTCCAACAGTCAACACGAAATATTATAACTTACCTGGAACACAGCCTTCTCGCGTTCGAACTCTTCCATAGAATTGACGTCGTTCAAAATATTCTTCAAAGCGCCATCGACTGCATCCATCCACTTGCTGAGCTCGTTGAACTTTTCATGATAACTTTGCCACCTCTCGGGAATTTTGGTAAGCTGTCTCACTAACATCTCGACCTTGGTACTAACGTTCTTCCATTGCTGCTGAGCTCTTTCGGCTGCTTCCTGCACGCTGAGGTCTTGTGGGTGGTTCTTGGTGTACAATTCGGAAATCTTCATCAAATTGTCTAAACTACGTTGAGTCTCTGTCAAGGGACCACGAGTGGAAAAGAATTCTTTGTTTCTCTTGAGGATAGCTTCTACGTTTTCTTGTCTGCTAAACGACATTTGCTCGCTAGTGATTTCTTTCTCGATTTCCTTAATATAGTAGTTGAAGGTCGTTTCATCCAGCCTGAACTCCAGTCGCATTAGATGTAAAGGAGCAAAAGACAATACTTCCTTCCATTTGTGCTGCAGGTGGTCCACCGATGCCAGTATAGGAGCGTGCTGCTCTTTAGGCAGACACGTGCACAAATCCTGCGCGCTTTGGACCAAATCGTGGATCCATCTTTCGTTTACTGACTGAAAAAGTTTTTGTGTTTCTCCACTGTTTCCTTGCTGTCTATCCTTTTCTCCAGGGTCAGCTTTTCGGCTTGGTTGAGCCAGTTTGCGATTACCTTTTCGCATTCAGAGAAGTTATACCAACAACGTACTGCTTCCTGGAGCTTCTGCTCCCAGAGCTGACTGTTCTGTGTTACGTAATCGAATCGGTCATTGAGTTGTTCCATTTTGGCAGTCATGTGAGCTACATCCGTGTTCTTGGTTTGATCTACCGACTTGATGATGTTGTTCATAACTTTGTTTTTACTGTCCAACATCGATCTGTAGTACAGCGTTCTGGTGAAAAACTGCTTCAGTTTGTCAATCTGTTCCTTCAGCTGCTCTTTGTCGCCCTCGAGGTTCAAGCTGCTGAGGAGCGTCTCAGCGCTGTCAAGCCATGTGTTTATTTCCCTCTGCCCGGCTTCTAGGGATTCCTGCTGCACTAATAGTTGATTGAACAAGTGTATTTGTGATGGAATAAGAGCTCTCACTCTCACTAACGTTTCTTTTTCTTGCTTCAGCGTGTTCATCATCTTGTCCACTTCTTCTCTAGATAAATCTTGGATCAGCGTTTGGAAGGCTTTGCTGATGTTCTTGAATAGATTTTCGATTTCTTCGACTTCTCCTTGCAACTTGATTAATTTTTGGGTGTGCTGTTTTATTCTTTCCATCGAACCTAAGCTGGGAGTATTTAGAATATCTTCAGCTTTTCTGAGCCAGTTTGAGAGAACTTCGACTCCAGCTCTGAAATCTTTGCGATTCCTCAAAATATCACCGGCGTGACTGTATTTGTTGACGTGAGGATATATTTTGTCCCATTTTTCCGTCATCGCTTGGTATTGGTCTCTGAGTTGGAGAGCTATTTGACTCTCGCACGTAGCGATGAGAAAACTAACCGTATCTCCTAGTAGTTGGTAGTTGTCTCTCCAAACACTGATGTCTTGAAAGAATTCCATTTTTCTTTCTTCTGGTAGATTCATAGAACTTTCAGCTTGTTTCAACCATTTCTCGAAGTCCACAATAATAGCAATTATATTTTTTGATATGGAGATTAGACAATGAAACACGATACATCTTTGCTACCATTTTTTCATAGTGATGCATGGAATACATGGAATTCCAGTCTCTACCAGAAAACCGTTCGGAAAATCGTAGTTCGAGTTGAAAGAATTATCTTGGTGGAATACAAGCTGAGTCAGTCGAACCCTTTCTATAGGGAAAAAAGATCCCTAACTTTTCTCCGATATTTCAGGCTTTAAAGTTTGCTTGTGTACCTTCAGTCAGTCTTTTCTGAATAGAATCTATCAACCTCAGAGAGACAGTCTGATCTGTGAGCTTTTTGAAGTATTGAAAGTTGCTGCGAAGTTGAAAACTTCGCAGCAACTCATCTAAAGCAAATTATCTAAAGGAACAATCCGTTCAGGCCAGTTTCAATCAGTATGCCCACTGACTATATGTGAAAAGTTTTCTTTCCTTATACGAGGATTTGGGCAAATTTCGAATATGAGGTTAGTTACCTCATTCACAGGCAGATGAGGCGATGACAAAACTGTTGTTTGTTGTCCGTTTCATCATAGTTCAATGAATGATCCTCTGAACGAATTCATTTTTCAATTATCGGAAATCATCGATTTTATGTTGCACAGACGATTGGCCAAACAGCCCGAAACCGATCTGCAAGTGTATTCCAATAATTGAAAACCTATTGCCGCAGTTGCATCGCCAACATCATATGCAGAAATAACTTCAGTGAAAAAACCTTCACTGACACCTGTCGGATATAATCCAACGCCCTTCCTGGTATTAGCCAGGGGAGTAGTTGTTTTCTGATAGGTGTCAGTCCAATAGCCTACATTGTACTAACTTGAGACTGGCCGGAACGAATTGTTCATTCAGATGATTTGTTTTATAGCCAGTCGCCAAGTATACCTACCCACTGACTATATGTGGAAAGTTTTCTTTATTTATACGAGCAATTGGGCAAATTTCATGCGGTTGGTTACCTCGTTCACAGGCAGATGGGGCGATGAAAAACCTGTTGTTTGATGTCCGCTTCAGCATACTTCAAGAAATGATACCCTGAAGGAATTCGATTTTCAATTATTGGAAATCATCGACTTTATCTTGATGATACATACTAACTCGCACTGACGAGTGGTCAAACAGCCCGAAGCCGGTTTGCAAGTGTGTTCCAATAATTGAAAATCTATCGCGGCACTTGTATCGCCAACAGCATATGCAGAAATAACTTCAGGGAAGAATCCTGCACTGAAACCTGTCGCACATAATCCAACGCCCTTCGTGACATTAGCCAGGGGAGTAGTTGTTTTCTGATAGATGTCAGTCAATTAACCTACAGCGTAGGGAGTTGAGACTCTCCTGAACGAATTGTTCCTTCAGATGATATCATTTATAGCCTGTGTCTTCAACTGTGCCCACTACTACATGTGAAAAATTGGCGACTACTTTTGAGAAAGGTTTTTTAGTGAACTCTTACTCTAAACCTGGTCAATGGAATCATTCAAAAGGTGAGCGTGTATAATTTCAGCTTCTTCACAGCTTGATCGATTATGTTTATGTTGGCATTGTAATAATAGTGCGAGCAGTTCCAATAAATGCAAAAAAACAACGCAATAACAGATATACATTCAACATGATTTTTACTCAAATATGCCGGATGAAATGAAATGAAATAATTATACTAATAGCAACTGCAATATCGTTTTTTTTTTCAACCATCATCATCAAATTCAATCAACGAAAAGTGGTAGTAATATTTAGTAACCCATCAGGCGTCTCCCCCATTTCCGAAATCTAACTCACCTTATGTTCAAGGAATTTCAGTCTAACTCTACGTTGAACAGCTTTAGCTCCAACGTCGTTCAGTCTAACAGCCATATTATTCAACTGTTCAGAAGGCACTTCTCTAGCCAGCGGGCTCTGACAAGCTTGGGCAAATTTCTGCTGCACCATTGGCATATCGGCGAAGAAAGCTTTGTGCTCTTCGAGCTTCCTGCTGATTATTGTGGCTGTCTCTTCGTTCATGGCCGAGGGAATTTCGTCGAAGTAAATAAGTTTCTCAGCAGCTGCCAACCATTCCCCGACAAATTTGAAATCGCCCGGTAGGAGCGAGTCCAAGAACCACAGCCAGTGCAACAGCTGTTGCTGAAGTTGTTTCCAAAGCTTGCTTATATCAATCCAGCTTTCCTTGGCTATGGACACTATGCTTTGAGATTCCAAAAGGTGTTTGAGCTTGCGATACATTTTTTCTTTATCGTCGACCTCCGATTTGAAAGCCAAGTACTCGTTGTAACTCGGAGGCAACGAGTTGGTCTGTTCCAAGTGTTCTAGATACTGTGTTTTCTGTATCAACCAAGAGAGAAGGTCGCCATATTCCTCTTGAATAGCTGCTATAGCGTCCGGACCAGTGCTCTTAGGCTCGGGATATTTGTGCAAGAACTGGGCTACGTAAGTCATGATGGATTTTTCGTCTGGCTTGGGTACGTCCACATCTTCAGGATCCAACAATCTGGAAATGCCCAGTTCGGTTTCAGCGACGTCGAATGCTGTTTCAAGTCTCGCTCTGTTGGAAGCTTTTTTCATTTCGGCAATATTGACCAGATTCTTTTTGATAGCGTCTATGATTGCGAGGAAGGCTATACCGTCTCTCCAGCTGGCACCAAAATCTTTTATTTGTATGCCAGAGTCGCTTGGTAGGGCGTTAGACACCCAGTGGAGTAAGGTCTTTCTGGCACCTTGCTTCCATTTGTCTTTCGAAGAAGAAGTTCCAGCACTCTCCAAACTGCTGGTACTCTCCCACTGCGTCAAGTATTCGAGTTGTCTCCTGTTTTCTTCGATCTGGGGAAAGAAAGGATACTTCATAAGTATAATAGGTTTCAGGGAAAAATTTACAGTGAAAAGTTCAAAAACTAATGAAAGCTGAGACGTAGGAGTAAATTCATATAGTCTTATTTCAGGGTATTAATTAACATTTGGAAATGTAATGTAAGGACTGATTCATTTATACTTCATTATTCATTTATTCATTACTGACTTGCATAACACCAAATAGACATCAAGTTGGTCCAATTGCATCTTGTGTATCATTCTTGTAATGAATTGAATATTTTCACTGATAAATATGACTGAATTTTTTACCATTAAATAAATCGATGAAAAAATTTCACTATTAATTTCTGTTTGATATGTTAATATGGAAAATAGTCGTGAGCCTTTTCAGCACTTCATTCGGTGAATGACGTTAAATACTCGTAAAAAGTAGCTCATCGAAATAAGTAGTATTAACATAATATTTTTTGTTTTACTTCACCAATACAATCTATAAACGAACATATGCAATAAGCAGACTGATTTTTTCTGAACTATCTGTTACTTTCTGGCGAGAATTTGGTCTTTTGATTTTTTCGTATGATATACGGCTTTCGCATGAGAAATTAAACTCCTCAATTTGCATGCTATTGAATTTGGTATTTTTAACCATTAAAACATACCTATCCATTGGATTGAAAGCAAATTTTGTCTCGCGATCATGAACAATATCGACAGCTGACTAATTGTCTTTGAAATTACAATATTATTTGAGGAAGAATGATTCATTACACGAATTTTGAGTTCGTCTTCGTTGAAATGTTTGGGCGGGCTTGATTTTATCAAAATTCAAAACGGCATTATGAAACGGTCATATCCTGCTTTTGATTCAAATTTATGAGAATAATGCAAATATAAATTGATTCGTTTCCAAAATTGTCAAAATAGTGTATAACTCACATATGATACTTTGAATAGTTTTCATACGAGTGCTATAAACATTAAATTCAATATTATTGAAATATATTTCAACGTTAAATGACCTTGGTAATTCTACGAGCATGTAACATGAGTTGGAATGAGACTGAGGTTCTGAAATCCACTCACTGGAAAGTATTTTCAATCAATGAGAATATTTACTTATATACCTTTCTTTCACATATGAAGTATTCGATTCCTTTTTTCTATAAATACCTTTTTTGCGGCATGAATAGTTTCACAATAGCTTAGGAGAAAAATTACTAAGAATATTGTTAGGTACCTTACTGAGTCTCACTATAAAATCAACCAATTTTTATATCACTAACATCCTATTACATTATTTATAATATCATCATCATTTCAGAAACATATATCTTGAGTAGGTATAGCGCCTCTCCAGACCGTCCACTTTTCGTAATCAGCGGGAAATTTAAATTGTTCTTACTTTCGACCTCGCTCTGTCCCCTTCATTTGGGTCCTCTTAGTGCTTCATCCCCTCCACTTTGGGCCCCCTTATGGCTTCGTTCCTGGGCCCCCTACAGTGGCCCCCACTTGCGACTTCGCCCCGTCACTTGGATTTTCTTATGGCTTCGGTTATGGGTCAATCAGAAGCTACCGTGCGCAGCAGCTGTAGCTTCTGATTGGTCGACTGGGTGATGACAAAAAGTAGAGGACTGTAGACGGTCTGGAGAGGCGCTATCCCTACTATATTGATATTTTGATCCATAAAACACTGCTCCTACACACCAGTACTGTTTTACGAGTTTCACGAACGAAGTTGGCGTCATCAGGAGATCAACAAGATATACTAGATAGGAAGATATACTCACTGCATGGAATCAAATTGTTTGTCATGAAGTAAAATGTACTATTTATCAGTATTTCATCGAAAATAATTCCCCAAAAATTTATCGATATGGTCTCTTGTATCTGTTCATTGTATTGGTGAGTTTCATTTGATTTACATATTCATTTGAGTTGTCCCAGTCTCAGTGGCCACGGACATAATCATTCTATCAAATTGAACTTGTGAATGTCCGTAAGAGCACCTTTGCAGAGTTCCAATATTTAGTCACAATCATATTTTATATTCGATTCTATTGGTATGATTTATTTAGGAGATTGATAGTGATTGTGAGAATGATGCATAACTAGGCCCGAGAGTCCCGAACGATTCAAGGTCTGGAGAGGCGCTATCCCTACTATATTGATATTTTGATCCATAAAACACTGCTCCTACACACCAATACTGTTTCACGAACGAAGTTGGCGTCATCAGGAGATCAACAAGATATACTAGATTGGAAGATATACTCACTCCATGGAATCAAATTGTTTGTCATGAAGAAAAATATACTATTTATCAGCATTTCATCGAAAATAATTCCCCAAAAATTTATCGATATGGTCTCTTGTATCTGTTCATTGTATTGGTGAGTTTCATTTGATTTACATATTCATTTGAGTTGTCCCAGTCTCAGTGGCCACGGACATAATCATTCTATCAAATTGAACTTGTGAATGTCCGTAAGAGCACCTTTGCAGAGTTCCAATATTTAGTCACACTCATATTTTATATTCGATTCTATTGGTATGATTTATTTAGGAGATTGATAGTGATTGTGAGAATGATGCATAACTAGGCCCGAGAGTCCCGAACGATTCAAGAATGATGGCACAGGATGTTGATTTCATATCTGTCAGTTTAATCGATTTTGAAAAGAAGCGTTTTATTGCTGTAGAAATCTGTTTTGGTGGCCTTCAATTTTTTCATCATTTTCATCACTTCATCGAGTTGAAGGTAATGATCTTATTTGATAATTTCACTAATAAAAAATAGCTAAGAAATTGAAAAGATATTCATCTCAACGTTTTGGAGGCCAAAATATGTCTACATCTTCAGAATTTGAAAATATCGAATACAACTTGCAGTTCGATTCGTTTTATTTTGAAAAAATTTCAAATGAAATCAAAGGAGTTCACAAATGTGAAATATGTCAATGTTGATAATTGACTTTTGTACATTCTCTGATATTAGTCTGTTGCAATTTGACTGGAGTACGATCCAGGAGCTGTTTTCAGTACATTTCTCACACGTATAAGAATACAAGCTGAAGACAAGTTACTGGATTTACACGGTAACATCCATTACAGTTTTTATTCTTACAAATTGTGAAAATCCCCAGAAAAACAAATAGAAATTTTGATTTTCTTCTCAGAAAATCATTTCTGTAGTTACTACTATACTTAATAGTATACTATAGTTCATATCCTGATGACGCCAACTTGGTTAGTGAAAAGTGCGTCAAGAAGTGTTGTAGTTCTGGTGTGTTTCTGAGCAGTGTTGTTTTGGTGTCTGCATAAATTTGTCAGTTTTCAAGTATGTAACCATTTTTGGCTCTACTAAATTAGAAAATGGTCCCCCAATCCAAATTATTTCTCATATTATCAACTATCACTTGCCTTTTTCATTAGGTCAAGCAAGAACCAAGGTCTCACCTTTATTTCAGGCATTTCGTTTTTTTTTTTAATTAACAAGTTCAAGAATAAGTTAATTATATAACAGACAAAACAAATCTGGTTTTATAACACTAATCCTCTTTCCCAAAGGTTGAGCGTTTTTCAATCGACTTAATAACGGTGAATAGTGTTTACACAGGAGTTAACTGTGGTTTTACTTGCATCAATTCAGAAATCCTTCTCTACATGGTCAATAGTTATGTGTGCAATATTGTCGTGAAACTATTATTTGGTATATAATTGTTACTATTGAATTAAGTGAGTTTCATTTCTTCCTTAAATCTAGTGCCACTTTTTCATATAAAATCATAAAGTTTAAAAAATACTACAAGCTTGTGTAGCTCAAAAGTACTTACCACTAGTAAAATTTCTGCATCCTTATTACGAAGCTTTTAAAATTGAAAATTCTATATTCAGGGTGCAATGCTTACATCTCGATTTGATCAAAAATACAAACGAGCTTCTTACTTTTTAGCAACTAATAGCAAAATACTTCTAGTTAAGGACTCATCGATGAGTGAAATTCAAGGATAGGTCTGATCAAACTACAATCGGAGATCATCTGTGTTATGTACATTTTGTTTTGTATTAAAAAGTTTCCTCGTGAGATGTGCGAAAACAATACCCAGAAAAAAAATTTGAAATTGGTGATGTAAACGGAAGTAAAAAATTCCATTATATCAGGTATGGAAAATGTCAGATTTCTCGTTGAAAGCCATTTTCCGTTGAAGAATAATAATTCTATTATCGTTTTTAGAGTGATATGATCTTCGCCAATTCGAAAAAAACAAAAAAAAATCTTTAAATCCGCTCTGAGTCACTTACTGAGGACTCGGCACATTTCTTTTTCAGTTCAGGGAACATACTAGTGAATTTCCACGTGGGCTCGTACAGGATAGTTCTGGCTAATTGGCGAAGTATCTCCAAGAGATATAACCGCCGTGTTCGCTCATTGTTCATCACCCAAGTATTTCCAGTTGAATGGTATTTTTCACGAGTAAACGGATGGTACCCCAATGGACAACGCGTTAACTCCGGTGTTGATGAATTTTTAATGGAAACATTTGAACGAGCCCCAGGGCAAGCTGCCATGGAACCATATTGTTGGCTGCATTACATTCATGATGCACATCTTCACCGGCAGCAGGAGGTTGCATAACTTAATGAGGATCTAGAAGTAATTTCGAATTGTGGTCACAGTAACCAGGTTCAATTCAATGTCACAAAAACCCAGGCATCGGTTTTTTCCACAAAAAGATGAATGTCTTCGATCCGTCAGGTCAAACAATTCCACTTTCTGCTTCGATAAGTTTGTTGGGGGTTAGAATGAACACCAATATGTCTTGGCACAATCATGTCGCAAGAATTGCAAAAGCCGCTTCTCAAACGCTTGGAACACTGCTCCGAACCAGAAAACTGTACACACCTCAGCAACTTGTGATTCTTTATAAAGCTCAGATCAGAGTACTGAGCTCCACCTCTAAGCATACCCTGAAGCTGCTGGATTCCATCCAGAAAAGCGCCATACACTTTATTGGAGACGCGAACATCACTTGCAACCTTAATAGTCTGGACCATCGAAGAAAGGTTGGAGATTTGTCTGTCTTCTATAGATACTTCCACAGGAAGTGTTCAAGTGACTTGGAATATTTGATTCCACCAAGAGCGGTACATATCAGAAATACGCGACGGAATGTGACTGCTCATCGTTTTGAGGTTCAACTCAGTACACCCGAATTTCATTGTTTTACGAACTCTTTCATCTGAAGAACTGCGTTTATGTAGAATTAAACTTCCTGAGAACGTTTCTCCAAATGAATTTAATCTCCAGCGATTCAAATCGCACAAGCATCGCTCTTAGGGCGCCTTGAGGAACTAAACGTATTTTTGTCATGTTCTTGTGAACATTCGTGGAAGTTGGATACTGAGTCATAGAGTGTACAGAAAATCAACGCACTCAGATATGTATCTGAAGATGAACTCCAACCAGTAGCCACGACACAAGAGAGAAATGATCCTACTTCAAAGGAAAGGGTACAGCGAAGTAGACTTCTAGCGGGCGATACGACGTGGGACAGAGAATCACAAATAACTTCAGCTAGGCCCGTTAAGGAAAAAGCTTTCCTTTCCTAGATAGGAAATGTTACAAACAGGATTGGGAAAATTAAGGGGAAACACAATGTGAAACCAATATTCAGGCCAACGAAAATTATCAGAGAGAGATTAAGGGCAGTTCAGGACCCCAGAGAGCCTTTAGCATCGCTGAGGGTATACCGGCTCTCCTGTAGCTGCGGACATATTTTCACTGGAACCGCGAACAAAAGAATAGATACCCTGCCCTCTGAATACAACCGACACATCAGTTGTAGCCGAACATGCTCTCAAAGAAGGCACTCACATTATCTCATTCAAAGAAACCTAAAATTATGAAGAAAGGCAATAGAAATTCATGAACACAGAGACAAAATAGAAAGGAAGACTAAAATCTGGCTAGCTATTCTTAATCATAACGAGGTCTTACCTTTTAACGTGTGATTCATAACACGGTAACAATTCCTAACAAACAAATTCCTAACAATATACACTGATTCTTTAAGCTTATATCTTTGAAAGTAGGGTTCATTGGCAATCATTTTCGTTTTGTTCTATTCAACTCGGTGTTCACCGTCTGATTGTAAACAAAAAACAATTTTGATTTTGTTAATCGTCTATTTCTGATAATTTTGATGTCCATTCTCATGCACTTTCAATGGTCTTGAAATTTTACCAATATAACTCCTTACTACAAGAACAAGGCATCTTATAAATGCAATTTTTCATTCTTTATTATATGCTGTTGGGTTTTGTATGTGTGAATATAGATCTCAGTGTATTTGGTATTCTGTTCTTATCTTATCTTTTCACATATTCCTGTAATAAAAGGTATAACGTCATGATTATCAAAATCTTTATTTTCGTCAGATCGTGGAAGGTGAAATTTAAAAAAAAGGTCTATGGAAACGAAAAGGTAATTTTGCCAACTCATTTCTATTCATAATATACCTGTCACTGAAACTTTGAAATGGCAATTTCCTGAGATCTGAGATCCTTAAATCAGTTTACGTTCAATCATGGCCACATAATGTTTAAAAAAATGAAGGAGACATGAACATTTTCCGAAATGTCACATTCTTTTTCGAAAATATTTGAGGAATACAAAAATGTTAGAAATATAGGGTGTAATATTTGAAAATTTAAATCTGTCACCATTTCAGGTGCAACCGGAAGTGACTTGAAACTAAACAATAAGCGAAATATCTCCTCTTCACGTACTTCACCAAATCTTGGGGAACTAATATAGGGTGTCAATCAAAAATTTCCACCTGCAGGAAATGATATGACAGGAAAGACCGGTGAAGACAAAAATGTTGAATTTTCACAACCGGATTTATGAAAACCCGCATATTTTCCAACGAGTGCATATAAATACAAAAATATCTTTAAAAAGTAATATTTAGTCTGGTATTATTTTAAATATCATTTGTCCTTTATTTATTGAAAATAGAGTGTATCTGGATGTACGAATTTCATTCCATTTACGGACCAACTAAAAACTAATATCGAAACGGTTATTTAGTTTCAGAATCGGAAGTAATTCAATGGTTTACAAATTCACCGTATTCAACTATTAGCTTTCCTTTTTGGGCACACCTTAAATATGTTGTTTATGAAACACCACTTGCTGATATTCATAATCTTGGAAAACAAAATGAATCATTCGGAAGTTTACTGTGATGTGAATACCTTTTCAGCATAGTCAGATTTATTTTTTTACTTCTCGAAGTTACTCGTTGTTAAAAACAAATTAAGTGCCTGTGTAGGTAGTGTTCATTATTAAATCAACGGATGTTAACATTTGTGAGCTGTCCCAGTCACCTTGTCTAGCTACGCCACTAGACGATGAACAAAATTTCGTGACAGTCTACTTCAAAATGATGTATGAGATATAGATTGACATGGTCTAAACCAGTAGTTCTTAACCTTATAGTCATTCGGGGCCATGGACCACCAAGTTGGTTAATTAGTTTTTAGTTGATATAAAGTACCATACGGTAACTACAATTAAATACAGTACAGTAGAATAAATAAATGGAATGGTTGTTCTGATTCATGTCTTCAATCATTAGGTAAAATCTGTAACTGTAACAAAAATTGCATTATAAATTAATGCGATTTTTGTGGTTGCATACTCTTTACTAAATTCTGAATCCTTGGTTCAGTGTTACTTACTTAAACTTAAACGCATATCAGCAGTGGCATCCAACCGATTTCGGTGCTAGTTTTTGATAATCAGAAGCGCCGAAAACATAGATGTTTCAAAGAAAATAAACTTAGGTAACCAATAGCAATGTCTCGAAGTTTTCGTAAAAAATAGCCTTTTGGCTCCAAAATTCTTAAAGATTAATTCCTGATTCGAATGTATCTCTTAAGTTGCTGAGGTGTAGCATATCAATTACTTCTTCTTGAACTTCATCAGGCACCTCATAAACGTTTACAATAAATGGATTGCGGATCAGTTTTTGAATACTTTTATCCTCGCGGTCGGGAAAATAGCGATTGAATTCAATTTTCAAGTCTTGGAAATGTTATATGTTCTTTTGTATTTTTCCTTTAATTCCAGCACTCTGTCCATCAATAATTTGATCAAGCTTATCAGACACAGAAAAGTTGTTGATCCATAGCTCAATTTTAGCGCCAAACGCACTGATTTTATCTTCATAAGCAAAAATATTGCTCATGCCTTACAACTTCAAATTTCCCGACTCTTGCAGTAGAAGGTTTAATTTGTTCAGTTGCGCAAAAAAACGACCAACAAAGCAAAATATATTTGAAACTTGGACTTGCAGAACTCATCAAACAACTCTTTGTTTTCCTTGTTAGTTAAAATAATTTTACTTCCTCTCTTAGTTCGTACAACCTCAACAACATGTTTTTTTTGGAAATTCAACGCACTTCCGTATGGAAACGCAAAGTTTCATGTTCAGAGTTCATATCAGAACACAATTGTTTGAAGAGACAAGTATTGAGTGCATTCTTTTCAATGAAATTTACTAATTTTATAGCTACTTTCATCGTCAAAGCAAAGCATTCTGGAAGCGTCTTGGCAGCTAGTGTTCGACGATGAATAACGCAGTGCATCGTAATTACAAACGGATTTTTGGTTTTTATCAATGCTGCAAGACCAGAGCGAGAACCAAGCATAGCAGGAGCACCGTCTGTACAAAACCTCACAAGCCGTTCCCACATAAGTCCATGTTTCTACATATATTTATTGCATCCATAACATCTGCACTTTGCGACGTCGTTTCAAGTTCTTGAGAAAGTAGTAACTCTTTTTCAAACATTTTAGCGACAGGTCGCGTTGTATCGTGTCGATTTATCTAACATATTTATAAGGATGGCTCCGCGGACTGTTTGGGATGCTTCCAGGGACCACCAGTGGTCCGCGGCCACCGGTTCAGAACCACTGGTCTAAACGTAAAAATTCATTTCACGACAGGTGAGACGATAGCCTGGTGGGTTGACGTGTGTGGTTTGCTCCACTCACTCAATCTACCGCTGTGCGAACCGGTGGTTCGAACCGCAAGGCCGGACGATCGATTTTTACTTTCTATCGTCCAACCAGTGTTAGAAATCACACGTTAAGAGTTAAGACCTCGTTAGTCTTCAGCTGGCACAAGTTTCGACTTTTGAGAGTTGTCGTTCGTATGGGGCCGACAGCTGATTAACGGAAATACAGAGATTTTAATAGATTTTTTTACCGAAGTGCAATACAACTTTTCTTTCCTAAGCTCAAAACCTAGATTGAAGGTAGGGTTGATAATGTTGTAAGAATGTAAAATTTTATAACTTCAAAACAAAAAACAATTATATCAAATAAAGTGTGTCTGAATAATTTTGGAAATATCTTACGAAAAATCTATTGGAATCATTATGAGCATATTTTTCACTAATATATTTCATGTATTTCTGGACCAATCCTCATGAATTTCACAAGTCGAACTACTTCTAAGTATAAGGATCTACGGGTTAAAAAGTAGATCATAACTGATTTTTTTAATATTAGCAATGTTCTCAAATTCAACCCAACGCAATGTAATAACAATTATTCACAGAAATTATTAATTATTTCAAAGGGTATCTTTGATAAAATGAAAAAAATATTGCCCTAGGTTGAACTGGATTTTTCGAAGCATAACAAAAAGAAAAACAATAAAGTTCCTCCCACCTGGAAATACAAAATAATCGTCCAAATTAGTCCAAGGACGACTGGTGGTCTCCCGTCCACCAGGTCGCTGGCATTTATGTTGACTAGTTTGATCCGTTTCGAAGTTAAGAATTGCAAGGCTGTGTTGGCGTTACTCAGGAAATGCGGTCTTCTGAGAACTCTGCCTCTCTCCATAGGCTGAAAATCATTGAAATAAAAGTAAGCCATTGAGAAAAAATAATACAAAACATACTATTCTTCCCTGAAGAAGTTCATACAATATTGAAAATTACATTATTATTGATGCGGATTCAGCAATGATCCGACTATACCGTGCATTTCTTTAATGTCCCCCGCTTGTTTTTTTTTAACAGATCAACTCAAAAAATTGAAATTTTGGATATTGAAATGGAACTTTCAAGAAGGCGACTGGGCGCCATCATTTTGAAGCTCCTGACGAATGCTTCACAACCCTAAAATATAATGTCAATATTTCGGCTACTACAAAATAGCGGAACTTAATAATTGCATTGGCATTTAACTACATAATATGAGGTAATAAGCTTGAGACCATTTCAGAAGATGCTCGGAATGGTTACCTTGAACTTTTTGACATATGAACTGCCTAGTCGATATTTCACGCCGAACATTTTCGAACACAGTCAATATCTCTACAAATATTCATTATTCTCTGCCGTATATCCAATTTCGAAGAAAGTTCAGTTTCGTATACCTTTTGTTTTAAATAGTCCCATAAAAAAGTCCTAAGCTGTCGAATCTGGCGAGCGGGCTGGCCATTCTGTAGGACCTCGACGGCCAATTCAACGACCGTAAAAAGTGGTATCCAAATAGTTTCTTACTTGTCTGGAGTAATGTGGTGTTGCTCCATCTTGTTGGAATACAATATCCATATCGAATTCATTAGGATTCGCTTTAAAGATTTCAGTGATGAGAGGGTCAACAGTAGTTTCCAGCATATTCAAATACAGTTTTCCTGTTAAATTTTGATCAATAAATAGAGGTCCTACAATATGGTTTCCCAATATTCCTGCCCAAACGTTAATTTTTTCTAGATATTGGGTATGTGTTTCCCGAAAAACGTCAGGGTTGGTGTCACTCCAATAACGGCAATTTTGTCTGTGAATATTGCCGTTGAGATAGGTAGGATGCCTTGCAATGGTTTCCGCCATGATTTCACAGAACTCTGTTCTTCGATCAGGGTCATCTTCAGTTAATTGGTGAACCATTTTAATTCTGTATGGATGATACCTAATTCCCTTCAAAAGTCTCCACATAGTAGAAGGAGTCACCTCACAAACATTCGCGATGGAATAAGTAGACTGTTCAGGATTGACTACAATTTCACCAATTATTTGCACTTGCTGTTCTTCCGGAATGTACATTACCATTAGTTGTGAATTTGGATACAAGTTCCCTCAAATAATTTCTAGAGATGGGACGATTCGGAAATCATTCATTGAAAATCATTTCGGTCTCGTGAAAGTTACGCGTCGCACCGTAAATAAAAATCGCTTCAATTTTTGTCTCCAATGGACGAGAATTGACCATTTTAGAGATTGTTGACGTGGCACCTTTCTACTAGTAAAACCGAAAACTAAATGAGAATATTCTAACTGAACAATGATGTTCATTGTCGTAATGACATTTTTTTGTCGTTTTAATAAACGAAAAATAACTTAACAAACCTTTTCGGGTTGTTGGAATTGCCATATGGCAGATAAAGAGAAATATTTCTAGAAATATCGATATTAATGTGTTTGTCTTCAGGAAATTATTAAATGTTTCGCCATTTTGTAATAGGTGAAGATCTTGACTTAAAAATTGATGATGATAATTATGGCATATGCTTCAAGTGATTAAATCACCGAAGTAGTTATGAAAATAACTGAATCATTTTTTGTCGATTATCCGGGGTTGAGCACACCAAAGTCATTTCAATTTTTTTTAAGTTTAATTGAGAGAATATATTTTTCTGGTGCCGAGTTTGTAGAAGTTCCCAAAATATAAAAAGTGGTCCACTTACCAGTTTCTCTCCAGACAATACTTCTAGTAATGCTAAAAGTTTAGTTCCATCCTTCAAATCTTCGATCAAGTCTTCTATCTTTAGCGGTGGAACTCGCTGAAACAAAAAAAAATGATAAATTAATTCTAAACTCTACAGCAATATACTCGTATATGACGAAATGGCTCAATAATAATATCATGAACCATGTTTATGTCGATCTTGATCTTTGGTTTAACCCAACTTTCTCTAAAATACATAATAGTTCTTTTGATTCCTGTCTTTGTGAGCAAGAAAATGAATTTTAACTGCATAACTGCATCAACGGATTATCGTGTATCCATGATCATGCTTGGATCACACGTTAAAAAGTGGGTTCCTTAAGTTTTTTTAGCAACCAAAAGTTTATTCAAAACTTCGGTGGGTTACTTCTGAATGAGCAACTGATCAAGACTTTGAACAATTCTTCTGAAAATATGTTATCCTTGATGAAATTGATTTAATTTTCATCTGAAGGTGAAAACATATGATCTTACTCAGCCTCAGATGGTTGGAACTCATATCGAATGAACCATAGATCTGGCACATTTTTTTGAACATCGGTTGTCATTTTCAAACAAATGAGAAATGAAACTACTCCGATAGAAAAACTGAATCCACCCAAAAGGTAGTTCGTCTGATTGATCAGTCATTTTGTGCAAAATAATGAAAAGTGCCAGGTTGTTGCCAGGTTCGCAACAAATGATTAAAGAACTGACAAAATTGAAGAACTGCACAACCACAAAATCAAAAAATTTTCCTCATCAATAACTCCTTATCTATTCAGTGGAAGGTTAAGCTTTGGATTCTCCAACTAACAAGAGAAAAGAAGTACAAAAGCAATGATACCGACAGAAAAATCACATTTGCTTGCTGATTTGCATCATCAATTTATTTTCCGGAAAAAAGCACCTTCCACTTCTCTTACTTCACGACGTTTCGATTGTTGGTATCCAAAATCGTCTTCGGGTGATAACTCCTCCGAGATCTGACTATTTATAGGTCATTCGAGTGCTTTCACTCTCTCCGCTTCTTCGGTTTTAGCATGAGCTGACCATTTGGCTGGAGTTGGTCGTGTTCCCCTTGTCTATGTATTGCGTATCTCTACGCTAGCTTGGCTGAATGCGTTGTTGGACAACATATATGCAGCTTTTTTGAATTTTCTCCTAAACCAGTGTTCCACCTTGTGGACGATTTCAGCTTGAGAACACTTGATGTTATGTTGATAATTCCAAACATGCTCTGATATTCCTGATTTGCTGGTTTCTCCTCGCTATATGTGTTTCTTTTGCTTGGCAATGCGAACTTTTAATGGCCTCTTAGTTTCACCGATGTATGATTCTCCGCACTCGCATGGTATCCGGTCAATGCAATTCTTGGAATCGCAGTCCGCGTTTGGTGGCCTGAAACACAGTTATGATTTATATATTCTAAGTCTCAGGCCTCTGAGGTTTTTTGAGTCTTTGAATAATCTTCTTCTCCTGCAATGTTTATTTCTCAAATATTCGTATCGTTTGTTTTGCCACCTTGTTTCTGTAAAATGGGGCTTATGTGCTCACCCTGCCTGACGCTGAAAATTCGATAATTATCCAATCCTAAAGGCACTCAACTTTCGCAATTAGTGAATGAATACGTATATTTCGATCTGATTTACTAGAAGTGGAGCATGGTACGAGATAGCGTGGCTGCGTAAGCTGACATCCCACGACCATAATAACTCTACAAACAAAACATCACGCGAATACCCTTTTAAATATCATGGGTCGTTTCAGGTTGAAAATCGTAAGAATTGAAGGATTTGTGGTTTGTAAATATACTATACTAGGAGTTCATTATAACTGCAATGAACTTTTCAAATGTTCATCACTTTGAATTTTTGGTCGAGTTGAATAACTAGAATTAGTATGTGTAGAATACAAACAATGTATCGTATTCAGGAAAAGGCATAGGAAAATTTTAATAATTTAAAACAAGCAACACTTCACTGATAGGTTTTCTCTATAAGGGTTTTACAAAAACCGCGACACTGAATAACTTATAATTCACAACCATATAACAATCTCCAATAATACCCCCTTAAGTTCAATCAAGTAACTAATTTATTCAACTATGTGGATGGCCAGATTTGGTTTTTAATTTACCGAGTTCTAGTGAAAATCGATAAATAAAACAAGTCATTCATTCTAGTTATGGATTTATTGGTTGAAGCAGAGGTAATTATTTTTAATCAAATTGATCGTTGATGAGAAATTGTGAGTTTATTGACTTTTATACTTTCAAGAATATTGACATGAAGAGTTTTGAATTCATGGTCGAACTCATGTCTCTCTGTAAGGAGATGATTAGCATATGATGATTTTTTTCATTCTGAACGCTATTTCTATGTTCTTTCAATAGTCAATAAGTTTTCTTTCAATTTGACCAATGTCAATGTCCAATGTCAATTCCTAATCTTCTGATCTGTCTATGTAGCATTCAAATTGTATTTTCCTTTTTCAGAAAAATATCCTCTTTTAGTCATCAAAACAAAAATTAGCCGATATTACGAGATGTGTTTGACGTGTGTCTGTTTATGGTGTTGAAAGTCTCAATGTTCACTAATCAACATTGAATTTCACAGTAGTTTCTTCCTAAAACGATCCGTTACATAAAGGCTTTTTTTCAACATACTTCAGAATACCAAAAAGTCTTTGAACAATACATTATTCACAGATTTTCAATGGATAGTTTACAAAAATGTAACACGTGTTTTACTCTAAGGTAGTTTCTTCGGTAGTGTCTTCGGGAGTATTACGTGTGAATATGTGTAAATATAACAATGAAGTTCTGTTCAAGTACATTTACCATGGATTTTCATCTACCACTAGCCAGATTTATTACAAATCTGAAGATGAAAACTCCTAAAAACGAAAACACTTCTCTTCTGTGTTATTTTGGAATATTTTCAATTCTACCTTTCAGAATCGAGCATTGTTTTTATTTCTTGACAGTTGTTTCAATATTTACAACAACTCTCACTGTTTCTGTGTATTCATGAAATGCCTGATTCATATTTTTGCAAGAGCTTCTTCGGTAAATAAACTTCTCGAAAAAAAAACAAAAATAAGTATGAATCTAACCGTGTACACCATGGTATGAACACTGGGAACTGGGAAATTGTTGATAGTATAAAAAACAAAATAAAAATATTGTTCGGTTATTGGAATATATCTCTTATAATTGTTCGTTAGTTTCAGTTATACGAGTGTCTAGTTTTCCACATCCTGAATAACAACGTGAAAGTTAGCATCGTGAAAGTTCCTTACCTTAGATAGATAAGAATTGATCCAATTTACGAAGGTCTTCTTTTGAACTCGTTCTTGTTCATCTGTAACAAAATAAAAGAATGTCAGCTAATATATTCGTTTCGCTTCAGTTTCTATAAGAAATTCTATATGCGTATCTTGAAGTGATCAAGTTCAATGAGTGATTCTATTTATAGTTGAAGCTTAATAGTAATACTATGCGTTCATATTCTTGTTTTGCATCGCTAATTATGAAAAATCTTATGAATTCATCGATGTTATTATACAAGGTGCGAGCTTCAACCTCAAACACCATATTATCGAGTAGTCTGACATCTCTCTATCATATTCCAGCCTGTTGGACGACACTAGTTTGCTCAGTTTGTACTTGTCGAACCGTGTCTCGGTCCCTCGTTGAAAAAAATGGAATAGAAGCGTTCAAAAAGAGCAATGTTCGATTTTTACTGAAATTGAATGATAAATACACAAGAATGATAAATACACAATATACAAGTGTATGTAGATGAATGTATGTCGCGTATACGGATTTTTGAGTGGTAGAAATGTTTCGAAGAAAAGCCTGAAAATTTCAGGAAAGATCCACACCCAGGAAGTTCTTCAACTCCGAAAGTGGATAAAAACATCGAAAAATGCAGTTGTCGAAACTGCAAATACATTCATTTTAACATTTAAAAAGGAAACGAAAAGTGTTCTGCATCGAAGTCGAAGTACTAAGGAACAACTCAAAAATGGGATCCAAAAACAATTGTTTAAAAATCGAAAGTTCTCTACTCATTCATCATTTCAAGTTGCTGAAATTCTAGACTATATTTCTGTGAAATTTCATTAAAAAAAACTTCAGTAGTATTTTCGTGTTCATTTCATGAAAACAACTCGACTTTTACACTAGTGCCAATGTGACGTCACCCACGCCAAATTGTTGAACCATGCCAATTATTCCTATTAATGTCGATGAGTGAATAAAATTGTTATTGTCAACCACCCCCAAACAAAAATTGTAATCGAAATGAAAAGAGCATAAAAAAACAGTGTACGCAATAATCAAAAAACGTATCAGATATCAACATAAAAAAGATAGTGAAGATGTTTTAAAGTTACGAAAACATTTTCTATAGCAGATGATGCTGTATGAAAAAGGTTCCTGTTTATCTAATACAGATCAAACATATATGACAATTCATAACAGCCTTGTAAAATAAAGATCAAGGGGTGAACATGTGCTATATACAACCAGCATACTGAAGGTGATATTTTTTAGATTTCAAGGAAATTTCAGTTGACATCGAACGGTGATAGAATCATGTCTATCACTAGCAGTTCTGACGAAGAAGTCGTTATTATAGTAGCCGCATTATTGAATGTAGAAGAAAATAGTCACAAAAAAGAATGTTGTGGTTCCATCCCATTAATCAAACTAAGGCAAATCTGGGAGAGTTTCATCATCTTTTCAACGTCATGAAAGACGAGGAGACATTTTTCCAGTATTTCCGAATGACTCTAAGCAAATTTTCAGAACTTCTGAATATTCTAGAGCTTGCCTCAACAAGCAACTCAATTTTTCCTTTTCCATTTTCATAGGACCCATCTGACACTGTGCTTTCAACTGATGGAATAGCAGAACAGAAAGACAGAAACTTCTCAGGCACATTTGGACAAGTTTATGCTGGCAAGCTCTGGCCGGCGACGCGATCACTTGCCAGTCCGTCACAGCACATATAGTCTATTCATTCCCAATTGGAACGGCAATAAAAATAAGAACACTACGAGGGGTGTTCATAATCACTGCCCGGCAAATGGGAAATGAATATATTACCAGTGCTTTTATGTTTAAAGCGTCCCTAGTACAGTCATAAACATTTCTTGCCTGTGGCCCCTAGTCGCCCAGATGGTTAGTGAACGTGCTATCAAATGTAGTTCAGGAACGAAGGCTTGGCTAGCTGGACTGACTGAATACTGATTTTTTGTCCGTTTCACAATATTTCTTATATCAGTGGCGTGTGTTCGTTGGGTTAGGTGAGGTAGTGAGTGGTTTTGCAAATCGATTTTTGAAAATTTTTTCTAGAGATCAATTACCCTAACACCAAACTGATATTTTTGCACTCGACGCGCGTTTCGCTAACAAGGTTAGCATCTTCAGGATAAGCAAATTGATACTGAATCTGAAGACAAGGGTTAGCTGTTTATATACCTAAAGTTTTTTGGTCCAATGTGGCAGGGAACGTTTTTTCATGAAGCA